ATGAAAGTCTGCAATGGGGGAGCTAAACCTTGCATGTCCCTCTCTATATCTACACTGTCCAGACTCTACCTACACACACATGTATATATATTTATATATATATCCATATATATATCCATGACTGTATACAGTGCTGTGTAGGTAGATACAATCACAGCCAGCATGGACCCGGCTGGCAATGGCGATGCAGGTCAAGACTCGGCCCGTCGACAGAGGCAGCTTTGGAATCTACTACTAGATGGTGGTATAGAGTCTATCCGTCTCCCATCATCGAACTGCTGGGGTACCATACTCCCTATGTGGTGCTCTCCTCCACTCTAGAGTAGAGTGCTAGATACAAGACAAGCAATGTGCAAGACAGGACAAGGACATGGCCACTACCCTCCCTCTACTAGTGCCTGGCAGCCCGCCGCTCCAACGGACTCTGCAGCGATCCCAGCGCCCGAGACGGGGGGCCATGTGGCACGGGGTGCAGGAATGCCATTGCGCAAACCACTGCCTTTGCCCCGTTTGCCGTTTGCCCCTTCACAAGGGGGGTTGAACGATGTTTTGTTTACCGAGTGCGTGAGTAAGTGAGGCCCTACCCAAGTAGAGACTCTGGACTACTTGGACTGAAGAGGAGAGAAAGAGAAGAGAAACATGACATGTGGGAGACTGAGTCGTGGTGGTGTTGACAACCCCATTCTGCATTCTTGGCCATTCCCCCATCCCAACCCATGCCGTCCAAACCCCTGGCCCCATCCAGTCATCCAGGTGACATGTGACCGTCTGCACATGCGGGCGCCAAAGCAGGCAAGGAAGGCAGTCCACCCACAGCTCTCCACCACTCTGCCACTCTACTCCACCACTCTGCCACTCTACTCCACCACTCTGCCACTCTACTCCACCACTCTGCCACTCTACTCTACCACCATTACTCTGCCACCATTACTCTACCACCATTACTCTGCCACCATTACTCTACCACCATTACTCTGCCACCATCACGCTACCACACTCCCACTTGTAACTCTACCCCTCTAACCACTTCTCCTAGCGCCCCCCCCCCCCTTTCCCCTACTTCCCGCAACACACCCCAGCATACACAATACGTTGTAACCCAAGCAGGACTAGCCTACCTGCAGGCCCATTGTATGCACCAATCCCTTAACACACACACACACACACACACACACACACGCACACACACAGACAGTACCTGTATGGCCTGGATTGTAATGTATCATCATGTAGCCCCCCTCTCCTCTGGCCAATCCCCAATCTTCCCTCCCCTCCTCCCGTCCACCCCTTTGCCAGCTGCCTCATCCTCCGTACTCGCACCTGCCCTCGCACACACACACACACACACACAACTTACATAAACACACACACACACAACTTACATAAACACACACACACAACTTACATAAACACACACCCACACTTGCACCTGCACAAACATGCACATGCACTCTGCTTCGGGGGCCTAAGCGGGCGATGAATGCAAATTAGCCACGGCTTGGGCTGGCCTTGGCCTAGCAAGAAACAAAAGCCCAATTCAAATCTTCTACCGAGATTCGAGAAGCCCCTGACCCAACCCAACCCAACCCAACCTTCCAAGGTTGGAGGGGAAGCTCATACTGTATCGGGATCCAAGCCCTTTTGCCCTCTTTCTCGGTCTTTGTCTCTCTCTCTCTCTCTCTCTCTCCTTCCACCACATCAGGCTGACACTACATCTTCAAAAGGCTACCAATCAACACCTCCCATCCCAACCCGCATCACATGGCTTGATCTTCATCTTCTTTCATTCTTCCCTTCTTTTCCTTCCTACTCGCTACGACTCCTTGTCAGACGTATCCGCATCGTCTTCCCCCTCCACCGCTACCCGCCGCCCCTGAACCGCCTTCGCAACCTCGGGCACAAGACTCTCCATGTACTCGACATCGCGACCAACAAGCGTCACCGTGTTGTGATCCTTGCCCCACCGTGGATAACTCCCCACCTTGACCCCCCGCCCTTCCACCTTGGCTGCCAGCTCCGTCAGATAACCAGCCACCGCACTCTCCGCCATCGGGGTCGAGATGAGGATCCGCAGCACCCCTTTGCCCTCGGGATCCGTCAGGCGAGGCAAGATGCGGGGTTTCAGTCCCTCCATCATGGCCTCAAACAGCCGAGGCACGCCCGGTAAGATGTGAACATTGCCATTCACACAGCTCACAGGCACCCACAGCGATTCGTCTACAAAAATCACCTGGTCCTCGTCCGCTACCTTGTCGTCAATCGGCAACTCCACCATGCGCCTCTTGGCCTTGAGCGCAGCCGACTCGACATTCCAGTCAAAGTCTGGCTGCGACTTGTGCGGCTTCGAGAGCGCCTTCATTCGCTCAAAGGCGGCCTTGTGCAGTTTCAACGGCAGGCCAAACGCCTTGGCTATCGATTGGTACGTAATATCGTCATGCCTGAGCGCCACAAAGTCAGCAACTACAAACTGCAGGGCATGGCCAACGGGCCGTAGCAACCCACGTAGGACCAATGCCACCAGACGTGACCACCATGTCGTAATGGGTCGACATGCGTCGCACAGCCTCGATGATTTCGCCTTCGTCGTCGGCTATGACTTCTATTCTGCGTAGATTGATCCCAAGTGAAAAACACCATTTTGCAAAGTAGGCCTGGATACTTTAGTCGTCTTGCTGTTGTTGATGTCTGGTGCGTGCACAGTGGATGGGCTACTGACCGAATTGGTGTCGACCGTCTATGATTTGCTCGTCAGCCATTCTCTTCCATAACCAGACATGCTGCCGTTCTATAGGAATTGCAATTGGAATGCAACCGAATAGGGAACCAACTTCAAACTCACCTTTCCTCCCAAAACCTCATCTCCAATGATCAAACACGCGGCCGTGTGAATCAAACTCTTCTGCTGCGATGCCGCCATGCTTAATGACGTAAACGATCCTGGACGGAATCGCGCCGCTGCCGATGTATGCGTGTGACCTGGGGCTGGACGTGACAGATGTCTCACAACCTGATGGAGCCGCGCAAACATCTAACCCCAAGGCTTGAAAAAAGGAAACGTGATATTTCCAGACACGTGGAATTTCGCCGAATTGGCAAAGAAGAAAAAGAAGAATGCCAGGACAAGAGCTAATACAGGAGAGGAGGGGGGGGGGGGGAAAGGAAGGGAACACATGACACTTCCACTAGCGTCTGTGTTAACGGGATCCGATCGTGCAGGCGGCACGCAACATTGAATCTCAGCCCCGCGCTTACCCAGCCACACACACACTGTGCTAAGAGTATGTCTGCCTCAGGCTTCAGCCCTAGCCAGGTGACAACCCCATCCCCACCACAACCACCTTTTCCCGCCTCCTATGAAAGACTGGGAAAACAGCGGCGCCGAACCTTGGACCACCATCTTCTTGTAACTGTTGTAGAGTACTAGGTAGAGTGCTCTATCCAGGTAGCGACCTTGTTTGCCTGTCACCATGGTATGTTTCCCTACTCCTTCACCCCTCTCCATAGCAAATCTACCCCTCATTCGCGCATGCACTTTGTCTTGTTGCTGGCTGTAGAGTTGGCATAGGGAGGGAGAGAGAGAGAAAACACCCCGAACATGCTAGCTGTAGAGTTGGCATAGGGAGAGAGAGAGAGAGAGAAAACACCCCGAACATGCTAGCTGTAGAGTTGGCATAGGGAGAGAGAGAGAGAGAAAACACCCCGAACATGCGAGCTGAACAGTCAAGCCAACAATACAAAACACCTAGTCATCCGAAGCCCGCCTCTACACCTTCTCCGACGAAACAAAGACCAAGCTACGGAAATTTCGCCTGGGCACCAGTCGCGCGCAGGACCCCCAGGCTGTCATATGTACGCTCCTTCACCCATGCACCCCCATGACCCGCGTCCGCACCCACAGTCGGGCTTGTTATCCACCACCATAAGCCCCGGCTGAGCACGCCCTCTTGTTTGTTTCCCAGTTCAAGCCGTGGTGGATAGGAGAGGGAAATCGAATGCGCGCTGATGTGATGCCCCCCTTGCGCGGCCCCCAGACGAAATCGACAAGAAGACGCTGGAGATACGGGCGGTGGACGATGAGGTCTACGCCGATGTAGAGAGTCTGGCAGATGAGCTGCCAGATCATGCGCCGCGCTTTGTGCTACTGAGTTATCCGCTCACCCTCGTAGGTATTTTTTTTTTTTGGTTCTTATCATCCTCCCTCCAAACACTCTACCCTCCCTCCAAACACTCTACCCTCCCTCCAAACACTCTACCCTCCCTCCAAACACTCTACCCTCCCTCCAAACACTCTACCCTCCCTCCAAACACTCTACCCTCCCTCCAAACACTCTACCCTCCCTCCAAACACTCTACCCTCCCTCCAAACACTCTACCCTCCCTCCAAACACTCTACCCTCCCTCCAAACTTTGCCTTTCTTCGCCTTGACACTTCAAAATACACTCCACCCAACCCACCACAACAGCGCCACTAACAATCTCTCTCCCACCCTACAAACAGGACTCTGGACGCCTCTCCGTCCCCTACGTCATGCTCTACTACCTCCCCATCACATGCAACAGCGAAGTCAAGATGCTCTACGCCGGCGCAAAGGAACTCATGCGCAACACGAGCGAAGTAGGCCGCATCATTGAGATTGACAGCCCAGACGACCTCGAGGATATTGAGAGATTATTAAAAAATCACGTCTGAGATGGGGGGGGGGGGAAGTTATACAGTCGTACTCTTGGGTTTGGGCATGGGGAGACGAGGGCTATGGTCATGTTGTAGACTTGGGCAAGGGAGACGAGGGCCATGGTCATGTTGTAGACTTGGGCAAGGGAGACGAGGGCCATGGTCATGTTGTAGACTTGGGCAAGGGAGACGAGGGCCATGGTCATGTTGTAGACTTGGGCAAGGGAGACGAGGGCTACGGTCATGAAGAAAAGGGAAAATTCAGGTTCAATAGAGACGAGAAACATGATAGACACAGGGTTGTAATCAATTCTTGTGCATTGGAAGAGTCTTGATTTCTTCCTCTTATTGTGTAATTTCAGTGTGTTGGATACCTCTTGCGTTCTTCCTCGTATTGTGTATAACCATCTCATGTCCCGTCATGTCATGGATCATCGCCCTTGCCCCAAGACCTACACACCACCTTCTCCACCCTCTGCATAATCCCCAATCTCTCCTTCTCCTCCTCTTCCTCCTCCTTCCCTCGCTCCTCCCCGACCCCCAACACCGTACCAATCAGCCCACCAGGTTTTGGCACCGGACACTCCCTCCGTGCGCTCAGCTTCTCCTCCAACGCCCATCTCTGTCTCTGCCTCTGCTCGTCACTTTGTCCATCCGTACACCCCTCCCTCTCTTCCGTTTCTACAATCCGTCGTCTCCGCCGCCGCCGCCGCCGGTTCTCGCCCGTGGGATCTGCAGAGTCGGCAAGTGTGCGCGGGTCCACAGGGCAGGGTATGAGATGGGGCGCCGCGACGACGAGGAAGGAGACCATGAGTGTGGTTGTGAAGAGGGAAGTCGTCATGCGAGAGCGCGGATGCAGGTGTGGAGGCATTGTGTCGTGTGTGTCGAGTCCTGTGGCATGGAATGGTGTGATGATTGGGTCTGGGAGAATTGCAGGCGCATCCCTTGACCTGGTGATGGAGTGAACTGTCAGTCATGCGAGTAGGAGATACAAGGACATGAAAAGTCCCCAGAACAAGATCAGAATTACACATACCATGCCAATTGGGAAGTCTCGAACAGTGTGTACGTTACGTCCGGTGGTGGACGGGGCGCGGGGGTTTACGAGGTGGTGGCCACTGAGCAGACTTTTGGTGGAGTGAAGTAGGAGTAGAGGGACGTGTGATCCCGGCACCGCCGCCCGAGCACCGCCTCAGATGCCTCGGAGCTTTGTTTCGCGACCACCAACACCCGACGACTTGCGCATTCAACCTTCCCCCACAACATCCACCCAAACCACCTTTTAGACACCTTTTAGACGGGCTCCCATTGCCCAACAGACGGCTCCGTGTTGCCTTGTCCGCCCACCGGTCGACATCGCAACCCGCCGTCATGAGCATTGGCGGTAGCGACCTCGACAAGTCCGTCTTACCCCATCTATCTACCCACCTATCCACCCAGCCACCCGCCTATCCCACGACCGTCCTCCCCACCCCGACATCTTGTACTAACAACCTATTGCTTACAGGGCGATCCAGCAGCTGCGCGCATGTCGGCCCATCCCCGAGAACCAGGTCCGCGAGCTGTGTTACAAGGCACGAGAGCTGCTGATAGAGGAGGGCAACGTGGTGGGTGTAGATGCCCCCGTGACGGTATGTACAGCCTGATCAGGGTCGTGGTGTTGGTCGTAGACCCAGCTGATCAAGATTGACACTCTACTCAGATATGCGGGGATATCCATGGCCAGTTTCATGATCTCATGGAACTATTTCGGGTCGGGGGAGACGTTCCAGACACAAACTATCTGTTCATGGGTGGGCAAATCATCCGAGCCCATGAGTCCAACCCCTTTTCCACTGACTGCCGTATACCATAGGCGACTTTGTTGACCGTGGCTTCTACTCGCTCGAGTCCTTTCTCCTCCTCCTCTGCCTCAAAGTCCGATACCCAGACCGCATAACGCTCATCAGAGGCAATCACGAGTCACGGCAGATTACGACAGTCTATGGATTCTACGACGAATGTTTGCGGAAATATGGCAGCGCCAATGTCTGGAGGTAGCTACTCCCCACGTTTCCATCCATGCGCCCAAGTCAGACAGCTAACCTCTCACCTCCTCCATCACAGACACTGCTGCGACGTCTTCGACTACCTCGCCCTCGGTGCACTCGTCCAAGGCGCCGCCACTTCTCTCCAGCCCACCGATGGCCCCATTGCCGAATCTAGCAATCTCGAAAGCATGCCCGACAGCGACCAAGACATTGAAATCGAAACGCTCAACGCAAATGGCGAAATCATGTACCGCTACGCCCGAAATTCAGACTCGCAGTCCAGCGCCGCCTCCCAAGTAAGCGCAAACATGGGCTCGTCGTCTCCCGTCGCGCCCACTCCTTCCCACGTCGGCCCCGCCGGCACAGCCGCCACCTCATCCTCCAACGGCTCCAGCCGCAACGACACAGGCGCCATTCTCTGCGTCCACGGCGGCCTCTCGCCGCTCGTCGACAGCGTCGACAAGATTCGCCTGCTCGACCGCAAACAAGAAGTCCCCCACGAAGGCGCCATGTGCGACCTCCTCTGGTCCGACCCCGACGAAATCGACGGCTGGGGCCTGTCCCCGCGCGGCGCAGGCTTCCTCTTTGGCGCCGACATTGTCAAGACGTTCAACCACAGAAACGACCTCAGTCTCATTGCGCGCGCCCACCAGCTGGTCATGGAGGGCTTCAAGGAAATGTTCGACTCGACCATTGTCACTGTGTGGTCGGCACCCAACTACTGCTACCGCTGCGGCAATGTAGCCGCCATCCTTGAACTCGGCGAGGATGGTTCCAACGCGGGCTTCCAGCGCAGAAGTAATGGCGATCGAGGCGGCGGTGGTGGCGGCTGGATCTTGGGTTCCAATGCCGGCCCACCGAATGGTGGTGGTGGTGCCGGTGGCGGCGGCGGCGGCGGCAGCGACAGGAGGCTGAGTTCTCTGGTCGGCGCTACGTCTGGCTATGGCGGCGAAGGGGGGTTTCAACAGAGGAATCGCGATGGGCCGGGGCGGAGGTACAGGGTGTTTGAGGCGGCGCCGCAGGATTCTAGAGGCATGCCGGCTAAGAAGCCTGTGGCGGATTATTTCTTGTAAGGAGAGGTTTCTTGTGCTTGGCGTGGTAATGCGGTTGATTGGTGTTTGTACGGCACTGTTTGGCATTGGAGTGAAGGGTGCTGGCTTGATTGAACTGAGCGGGGAATAGCGCGGATGATTGATGCGAATGTGAATATGGATATGGGTATGGATATGAATAGTATTGGTATGAATATGCATGTGGATGGATTCGGGCGTGGATATATGGCAAAAGACTGTGATGCTCAATGATGTCGAGATTATGCTTCTAGTCTTCTTTTCTATTGTGCACTGTCTGCTGTCTGCTGTCTACTGTCCTCACGCATAGGATATAGGCATCACAAGCTGACAGAGGGCAAGTTCACCTATTTCATATACAATTCTCATGTTTCTTGGAATCCATCAAAGGGGAAAGGTTGTAAGTGATTGTTTTTCCTCATTCATTGCTCAATCATTCTTGCACGCGAACTTTTCTACACTTGAACCTCTCCCCTCTCCCTCTTTCTTGTTCCACATCATCACTCACCCACCCACACATCCACACTTAATTCCCCCCAAACCCATGCAACCCATGCGGTCTCGGACCCTGCGCATGCGGCACACTATCCAACGAGCCCGCAAGCCTCAACAGGCCCACATCCGAACTCGTCATGTCGCTACGATACCGGGCCCCGCCAAACTCGAACAAAAAGTTCATGGGAAAGCCAATCTCAAACGGGACCGCGGCCTCGATTTCCTCAATGTCCTCATCCGTTAGCGTCAACGCGAGGGCCTCAATGTTACCCTGGAGGTGTTCAATCTTGCGCCCGCCCACAATCGGGTAGACATGGGGATACTTGTGGCGAACGTAGGCGAGTGCGACACTGGTGATTTGCGTGGCTTTGGACTTGGCCAGGCTCTCGAGCACCTTGGACACGGCAATGTGTTTTTGCGAGGCGGGGCCAAAGTTGCGGCCGCGCTCGTTGGCCGCCCGCTTGGCTTCGGTGGTGAAGTTGCCGCCGCCGAGACTGCCCCAGGGGCAGAGGGCCATTTCTTCTGATCGCGCCATGGGTAGGATTTCTCGCTCAAAATCACGTTCCGCGGCTGACCAGCGTCCTTGGTAGACGGAGAAGGGGCGGAGGCCGTGGTCGCGGGCGTCTGTGTTCATGGGGCATGCATGTCAGTAAAAGAGGGTAGAAGTTCTCCTTGGGGATATAAGGGTGGGTGGGGAGGAGGTTGGGAATAGGTAGGTAGAACAAGGGGCTACGTACATTGGTTTGCCTTGCTGACTACCCAGGCTGGTGTGTCGCTGATACCAAGGTAGAGTACTTTGCCAGCCTTGACCACGGCGTCGAGACTCTGCATGAGCTCTGGAATGGACGTGGTAAAGTCCCACCAGTGGACATACAACAGGTCAATGTAGTCGGTCTGGAGCTTCTTGAGCGACGCCTCGAGCGACATGCGGAGCGACTTTGTGCTGTTTCCTGCGTAGTTGATGCGTTGACGAGGTGAGTTGTTCGGGTTGGGGTAGCAAGTTGTGAACTTTGTAGCAAGCACGATCTCGTCACGGACACCGCGTTCTTTCATCCATTCACCGATCCAGGTCTCGGACTCCTCGTTTTGGTAGTTGTTGGCCCTGTGTTTCTCGTCCGTCAGTCTGCCTGGTCTCAAGGAAGATGGGACATGCATTGCAGAAGCGGGCTGAGCCCATGCATACCAAAAGCAATGACGGGTCAGTGTGAAAGAGACTTACGTATCGATGAAGTTTCCACCCATCTTGTGAAAGTAGTCCAGGATCTCAAACGTCGTCTTCTTGTCGCACTTGCCCATCGACTCCTCCCACGCATCACCAAAGTTCATGGCGCCGAGGCATAGCGGGGAGACGCGCACGCCGGCTGTTGGCGAGAGTACGCGGTGGAAGTCGAGGAGAGATGCCGCCTTGGGGGGAGCGCCGAATGGAGACATGATGGCTTCTGGACAGGCCGATTGTGTTGCAAGGTCGTGCAATTGGCGTTGGGAAAAGTTGGGGAAAGTGTGGAGTAGTTATTAGTCGTCCTTGTGTTGGCTTATATACACACTCTAAGCCGTGGACCGGGAATTGACGTATCAGAGTCGAGTGATGTGTAGACTAGGTACGATATCTCCGTTGACGCCGGCATGCGAATCTATTGCCGAAGGGTCTCGGTTGGCTTTGAGGCTGTGGAAAGGGAGGGGGAGGGGGAGGATTGCGGGGGAACTGTTGGTGGGGTCACGTCGCCACAATGGTGCCTTACGGTAGTACCGGTATATCAAGTGTTTGTGGTGCTGTATTTGAAAGGAATTGTATGTTACTACAAGTGGAGGACAATGTTAGCAATAGCAAGAGAATTAGTGACTGTGCGCAAGATATGGTAGTAGCAAATAGTTTAGTATATGTATATACCGTAGCTGCTAGGATAACAGCCTATGGAGCGGCTATACCTAAGAGCTAGTGTCCAGCAGATCTGCTCTCGGTGCAGGAAGGGGATAGCAAGCGTCTCGCTGGTGGCGAGTGCCAATCGTGATACAATGAGTATATAAGTAGATCCCGTCTCGCCAAGTCCAAGGGCAGCCTGGATGCCTTGGATTGTTCGAACCAGGGGTACACAACAACTGCTTTAAGCCACCATCTGCCTGCGCACGTCCTAAGTGTGCCCAACATCGTTGATATTTATCTCGTACTTTACCGGTAAAAGGATCGAATTGCGCGTAGTGACACTCGCAGTAACTACCAGGACCACAGTATTTAAGTTTTGGTTCAGCCACTTGACCATAAGTAACTGCGGCAGTGATGGCAAGGACGATTCTATGAATCGAGAGGTTAGCAGAGCTTTGATAGTTTTTGAATCCATCTTCTTACACAAGCTTCATGTCGATAATGTACACGAAGAACGTATGCGGCTTGCGTTGAGGTAGATGTTATACGAGGAGAGATGTTAAAACCTATAATAGATCAGACTATCGGAAGTATGGAGAAAGAGAATTGCAGAGGCGAAACAATGCGAGCGAGGAGATAAAGAGGAGAAGCGGTCTCCATATGTAAATCCTTATAGATCTATAATCCATATATATACGCTCTTAAATAGTTTATCAGCGCTACTAGAATTTGCAACACTAGTAGTCTGCTTATGTGGGACGTAGAGGACCTTGCATACGAACGATAAAATGTGTGCTGTCAAAATCCTAGCAAACATTGTAAGCATACCTCCACAGATGAAGGTAAGCAGCACTGATTATAATTGTGGTCACATGCGCGGGAATATAGTACATTATAAGAGCAGTAAATTGTCACGTTTTTGGTGAACAGACCCTACCATATAGAAGAACCGTGTTCCTCCCTGGCCGCTGTAGCTACCCGGTACTAATACCTTGGAGTTACCTGCGCACAATTTCCAACTAAAACTTGTCATGGGTTAGAGTAGACGCAGTAGCTGTTGCATTTTGTGGGCGTGAGGACGCCTGTGCTGTTAAAAGCAATTTGAAGAATAGAGAAAAAGCACCGGACACGGTTCTAGCCATTGGAGCTATACAGGGACAAGGATGCTAGCACATATTAAGCATGGGAGGTCATGGCAGTAGATGTTGATGAATTTGCACTCAAGCGGAAGAAGCATACATGGAAGAGACCTGGATATCGGCCTACACACTGGCAGCAGGAAGCATAGGAAGCGTTGGCCTGACAGTTAGAATGGGGGTTACAGCGGGAAGAGGCAGACGAAGAAGATAAAATAAACGAGAAGCTGAGGAAGAGCAGAGTTATGTAAAAGGTACTGAGCATATAAAGCCTAAGAAGTTGTTAAGAATTCACAAGGCGTGTTTAGGGGTTTGCAACATGTTGTTGAACTAGTCTATGAAGCGCAAGGAGTAGTTGTAATAGGCCGTTAGTGTGTGCGTTAGTAGTATTAGATGTTGAAGAAGTATAAGCAGTGAGAAGGGTCCTATGCAGTATCCACCAACATTTTTAGCAGTCATCAAGGCGGCCCGGCTTATGGTGGTGAATTTATTAGTTTCTACTAGCTTCCGTTCCGTCTAAAATCAGAATGTATCAGCCGGGTCTTCCACGTTGTCTTAGGACAAACAGCAAACCCTATTTGCTACCTTGGGTATTCGTACATGTAGCAAAGAAGGTAGCAAAGTTAGATTATTATCGCTTTTATAATCTCATCTGCCATGCAATACATTCAACAGCAGCAGGCATTAAAGTGCTTAGGGCTGTTGGTGTAGTTTTGGGGCATACCGGTAGTGCTCCATAAGAATTGATATATAGTAGGCAAGAGTAAAGCCGCCGAGCGGCAACGTTCGTCAAATGCTATATGCACTAGGTATTCTTGCAAAAGAGCACAACAACACTGTATTCTGTGCTCCCTTGAGTTAATAAACTAGAAAAGTCTTATTAGAGCTTACCGCTATCTCGTGATTGGCACAACAGCACGTCATGCAGAGCTTGATTTACTAAAAGACATACATGTACTTATCGTAAGCCTCTATATATTCAGGCTCTATCTTGATAATCATAGTTTATCAAATTGACTTTATTACCAAGCTTAGTGATTACGCATCTCTACAGCTGTTTTACTTGTCTGTAACACTGTCCTGCATTACTAAATCTATACTTGGCTTTTGTAACACTACAGTACAAAATTGTTTACAGTAGAATAATGTCCTAGGGATTTACTATATAGGTGTAAATACCTTGTTTTAAACTAGTATATATATCTAAAGTAGTAGTTTACTTTTATAGTAGGGGTTTAATTTAGGATAAAAAGTAGTTTTATTTCTTTTATACGCTATAATACCTAACTAAGACTAAAAGGGGTAGAGAGGATTAGCTTTACGCTATACGCATATATAACATAATAATAAGTTGTAATATTTCTACTAATAGGAGGCAGTGATAACGGAGGTGGTGGTGGTGCTAGAGGTGGTGGTAGAGGTTGTTATGGACTGGCCTCAAGGGAGAATGCAATGAGCGTTGATAATAGTATTCAGTATCTTAAAGGAGAGGTAAGCCCTCCACGCCTTTTTATGGGTGTGTAGCGTGTTCGCTTAGCAGTAGTGTTAGACTCTGTCCATCTTGTGTTAGACCTAGGCTTGGGCGTAAGCCCAAGCCCTTCACAGAGGTGGTGAAGAAGATTAAAGAAAGGAGGGGTAAAAATACTTGAATAGTTAGTAGGAAACTACTAGTAGTTATTCCTACGTAAAACTAGTAAATTAATAGAAGTAGAAATAAAAGTTGTTTACTTTTGTGTAATATATAGTATAGTAAACCCTATTTAGGTTTACTTCTTCTACCTAAACCACTTCTTAGTCTACTTTAGATAAATATGGCTACTGTAAACCGGTTCTGTACTGTAGTGTAAATACCTCAATATTGTACACATCTTCTACTTTGCTACCTAGAGCTAGTCTCTTGTCATGATAAAGCTCCCGTAAGAGGATAACGTTTACAGATTATTTGAATTAAGCTAGCCTAGCCCTTGATAGATCCCTTCTTGCGATGGCTGCGACAACTAGCTATTGCCAAAAGGCCTGTGGAACACTTGCCTACTGCGAATGTCCTTACAAAAACCCTTTCAATGCCGTTATTCAACGCTGTGTTTCAAGCAAAGGAGCACTAGTTCACAACAGGGGCTATATAGAGCTTTATTGTGACCCTAAATATAATTTCGTGCCAGGAAACGGCTGCCCTACAACATGGGGAGGCGGGAACTACTATTCTACCCATTGTATCAACTTTGTCACGACAATGAGGCGACATAGTTGCGATTAAAAGCTGTAAGCGGTGCAGGTTCGGTATCAATTCTGGCATAATGCAGCGATTCCAAGTCTATCTTGCACAATAAAATGCACGACATTGATTCTTCAAATAATTGTCACGTGTAGACATTCGAGTGCGGAACACGTCTCAAACAAGTCTTACATCAGCTGAAACTGTGTGGTATTACTATTGATATGGGCCTCATCTTTGTCGAACTTGGGTGGGAAGCATGCCCTCAGCAATATGCATCATGGCGGCTGGCCCAATTGTGTGTCACGACGTTTAGAAACCTTGGTAAAGGCTTCACCATGTCCTACTCTAAATCTGTCGACCTTCTCATAATAACTCACTCACATTGAGCCAAAGGTTTCGACGGCAGAAATAGAAGCAATGAAAGATATTTCAGGCTTGGTTCAGTAACATATACCATGCAGAGTAGATAGTAATAGATGTTATGTACCAACTTTTGAGGGTATCCATACCATAAAACTCCATACAAACACCATTAAAAGCACATCAGAATCGAGACGGAAAGTCGTGCATGACTATCTCTTGTTCTTCTTCTTCGACTTCTTCCTATTCCTCTTCTTCTTGACCTCATCATCGTCAGCAGCCTCCACAGCAAGAGCAGTGGCATCAAGACGAGCATTTCCATACTTCTGCCGTATCTCTTGTTCAAAGTCTGCCTTCTCCAGTCTGTACAATGCCATGGTGGCCCTCGCATCTTCGACCGAGCTATGCGCACCGACTTGAATCTGCACACCCAGGAGCTTGTCTGCCAGCATCTTCAGTCCTGGCGTCCAGCCTGGCTTCGCTGCTAGGGCGCGAAACTTGGTGAATTTGGAAGTATCGCGTATGAAGCGACTATCGTGCTTGAGTATGAGCACGTCAAGATCGTTCTTGACCGCATGACCAACGAGGATGCGTCCGGCGAGGAGGATTTTGAGGTCCTTTCGCACTTGATCAAAAGTTCGTGCGACGTCCGGTCGTAGGTGTTTGGGCTCGATGCCTGACACGGCTGTGCGGTAGTCTGTGACTTCCATCTTGTGCGGTACCTGGACGTATGAATCGTAGACTTGATGGCCATGGAAATTCACCAATGACACTCTGGCCAACGCCGAGTCGCGATTGGGCTCTGGCCCTACGCCAACCATCTCGCAGTCCAATGCGACATATTTGCCAGGAAGCGCCGTCTCAGATACACCTTCGTTCTCAATGTCGGGGAAGTCTGGATGGGGATCAAGGACAGAAGAGGCTTCGGCGACATCCTCTACGGCGGCCAGTAGAGGCTTCTTCTTGAGCGAAGGCATCGAAACACTTCTCGAAAGTGCTTTGCTGTCATGATGCTTCACCGACGCACCCACCGAAGTCGGCTCGTCCATTTTCTGTCGTTTTCTCGATGAAGGTGATTTTCGGGGTGTTCCTTTTTGTGAACCATGTGCACTCTTTCCTGTACCACCTGGCTGCTTCGATATCTCGCCCTGTGGTCTCTTGCGCTTCAGAGAGGGCTGTTCTTCTTTTTCTTCCCGCCTTTGGTGTTTCGGTGGTGCGGTTGGGGTCGCAGGCTTCAATCGCGCCTGTAGAATCTTCCAATTGCTAGACAAGCTATCGAGGTCTACTGGGATGGGGACCATGTTGAATCACCAGCAAAATAGCATAGCGGTGTGCCCGTCGTCCTAGGAGTGTTTGGTAGCCTGTAGCAGGTGTTGACCGCGTTTGCCTGCTGGCCTCCAATCCCTCGGTGAGCAAAAGTTCGAGAAGGCGCTAGCGTTGTCGGCGATTCAACGCGAAAAAGTGCCGACGGACAGGCGACAAACACGCGAACAGCGACAAAGGCGTGGCAGGTTCCAACAACATCACGACAGCAACAGGCACACTCGACCTGCACCGTCTCCAAGAGTCGCGTTATAGGTGTCGCATCATCATGGCACCTCGGGAAAATTCTCACGAGCCTTCCGGGACGCCTGTGCCCGTAGAAACAGGCTTTTCCACATTGGCACAGCTGAGGTAGGTGCGACACCATGCCCAAAACCTGGAGATGCATACTGATGCGCTGCGTTCAGGGTTGGTGTAAAGGCATGGGTTGAAAAGGTACGTAGATCTTGTGGTAGGCTATGAGGCGACGTGCCGTGCATGAACATCAATATGTAGCAACACGACTCTGCTTATCATTTCAATCGAGCGACATGCTCCTAATGCATTGCACTCCTCTAATCCTATTGAACTATGTATAGACCTTTGCATCTCACTGACGCTTGACAGGATGGCGAGAAACGCAAAGCTGAAATTCTGTCGGTAGCAGTTCGCAAAGGCGGTACAAAGTTCTATGTGCACTACGAAGAGTTCAACAAACGTCTTGATGAATGGATTGATGCGAATCGTATCGATCTCTCGAGAGAAGTCGAATGGCCAGCTCCAGAAAAGCCAGACAAGAAGAAGAGCTCTGCTGCTAAGAACGACAAAGCGCCTTCCAAGTCTGATCAGAAGAGTCTCAAACGATCCCGCAGTAAACTCGACCGAGAAATATCAGGAACGCCAGAATCTACTTCCAGCAATGTCCCAGGTAAGGCCCAGCGGCCGTCCAAAGCAGGAGGTAAAGAGAACCAAGAGCTGCTTGTCACGAGCGAAGTCACAGATGGCACGCCCAAGCCCGAAGATGAGGAAATGGACCTCGTCGACGTGCAAGACGCTGCGGCTGCTGCAAAAGCCATGCCAGACACAAACTACACGCGCGAAGACGAAATTGAGAAATTGCGCACCTCAGGCTCCATGACGCAGAATCAAACTGAAATATCCCGCGTACGTAACTTGGAGAAGATCCAAATGGGCAAGTTCGAAGTCGAACCCTGGTACTTTTCTCCCTACCCCATCGACTTTGTAGACTCGGAGGTGGTCTATATTTGCGAATTCTGCTTAAGCTATTACGGCGAAGTCACCCAATTTGAGCGCCACCGCACAAAGTGCACTCTCCTGCATCCTCCTGGCAATGAGATCTACCGCGATGACTATGTGTCTTTCTTCGAGATCGATGGGCGGCGCCAACGCACATGGTGTCGGAACCTCTGTCTCCTCTCCAAGTTATTCCTGGACCACAAGACACTGTACTACGATGTCGACCCCTTCCTCTTCTACTGCATGTGCACCCGTGACGAACACGGCTGTCACTTCGTCGGTTACTTCTCCAAGGAAAAGGAATCAGCCGAAGGCTACAACGTAGCCTGTATCCTCACGCTCCCACAATACCAACGCAAAGGTTTTGGCAAACTCCTCATCGACTTCTCCTACCTCCTATCCAAACGGGAGGGCCGTCTCGGCTCGCCTGAGAAACCCCTCTCTGATCTCGGGCTCCTAGGCTACCGCGCCTATTGGCAAGAGATCTTGGTCGATTTGTTAATGGAACCTGGGCGCCAGGAAGCGAATATCGAGGACTTGGGCGCTGCGACTGCCATGACGACAAACGATGTGTTGCATACACTGCAGAATCTGAATATGCTGCGGTACAGCAAGAATCAACATGTAATCGTGCTTACGGATCAGGTGATTGCCCAGAGGGAGCGGCAGAAGAAGAAAGAGGCGCTCAAGGGCAAGAGGAGCATTGATCCCGACAGACTCATTTGGAAACCCCCAGTCTTTTCGGCTGCGAGTCGGACGTGGAATTGGTGAGGTGGAAGTGGGGAGGTGGAGAAGTGGTTATACGATGTGCTGTGTATATTCGCGTTGTTGGCTGATTCTCGGGGTATGTCTGTGTTGGCATTCGGAGGATGGGTCATGGCGTTCATGTTGTTTGTAATTTAGTATACCCTGTGCTTTGAATGCATGTATATTTTTATCACTGGTCTGTTCGTTCTTCAGAGTACGTGGTCGGCTTGAGTGGGTGCAAACGGTCTCGATGTCTCTTGCCAACGCAACACAGGTATGGCGAAGAATTGACTGTCCCAGTCTTCATCCATGCATTCTCACCAGACGTTTCGTTCTATTGCCCCCATCCAGCCCGGAATTGATCTACAGAGCACTATGTCTACAAGATTCTTAGCTAGTGATGCAGTGAGAATCGAATATAGAGCTGTCTCACTGTCTCCGGCCCGAAGTCTGACTGCATATCTTCGTATTGTGTACGACTGGACCATCGTCTGGAAAGACATGGACAATCGTACCGGGAATATATTGTGTGGGTCTGAAATGTCACGTTGTCGTTCAGGACGGAGTGAAGGCATCCGAAGCATAGTCTGCCAAAGGGCACGTTCTGTAAGTCTATCGCAGATGGCAGAATGAGGAGGAGCGGCCTGCACATGTTCACTCCTCGCACAATCATCGTGCTTTGCCAACAGTCTGAAAACAAATCATCTTCCCCTCTCCAACTCTCCACTGTTGAGCGTTTGTTCTCAACTATCGTGAGAAGCCCAACAATCCCATCCTGGGCTTCGCCACAACTTTGCCTCCGGTCTTCTCATTCTCAACCGGTATCTAGCTGGCAAATAGAAACAAAACACGCACTCTCAGTGAGAGCTAAGTACAACGTGAGTCGTCACTGCAATGAATGATTGAATGTCTGCTTTGCATGTCTGAACCGTAGCTTCCGGTAGGCTTTCGGTCAAACTGTGCTGCGAGCTTGCCAGTACTCAAGCCTCAAATCCCAGTGTTGCTCCTTCACTCACCCAATTGACCGAGCGCGAGACTTTGCCGCGGCGCAGTACCGGAGATCCGCCTGTGACAACATCGATTGAAGCCTGTACTCTGGGCAGTATAGTGGCATGATGTCCAGTCCCAGTTCCAGTGTTCTGTCAAAATGGGTATACGGGTCCTGTGTACTCTACTGACGACCGTGTACAGTGGGCCTTTGGACCTTTACTTTCCATTTTCTCATTCCATTGCATTCCGTTGATAGCGTGTACGATGGGTCGAGTTTCCAGGTCTCATTCGTGGGATGCATGTACCGCCATGGTACCCACGGAATGACAACTCACTCACTGACTCGATGGCTCACTGTCAGACTGACTGACTCAGGAAACACGAGATTTCCATCCTTGCCTGACCCAGGAAAAAGAAATTTGGTAGAGATACGAGGCTGGATCGTACAATAAATAGTAACGTGACGATCATCCTGGACAATGGACGGTGATGGGCGGAAGAAGCAATCCATGACCATGGGCCATGGACAATGACGGGTTGAACCCTGCATTGCCAGCGATCAACATCGGCAAGCCACAACCGAGATGTAGCCAGTCATGATCCCTAGAAACCGATGACCTCATGTGCGACGAGAAGCTCTGATCAGAAAAAGGCTGCCGCCACTCTCTCGGAGGAAAATTGTCGCGATGCAAACCGTGCGGGTGCAGTGTGATGTAACTTGTACCGCCATCTTTCTGACTAGGGGGGTGAAGTCGAGATTGCAACAAGGACCCATCCATGGAACCAGAAAGTTTCATGAGACTTCTCGAACCCTCATTCTTGTAGGATGGCGTGTTTGCAGGGAGATAATGCAATACGCTGGCGGAAGGGGCCTGGGTATGGGCGTTGGTGCTGGGCCGAGAAATCATGTGATGGTGGATGGCAGATCCATGGGAGCAGCATGGTCTTGGCAAATTTCCCGTTGGCTATTTGTGGATTACACCCAGTACTACTAGGAGGACCATGCTGTGTATGTAGAGTAGGTATAGTTGATTTGGTAATTTGCTTGTCGTTGGTTTCGTGATGCTGGGTCACCTGTTCAGAATCATGCCCTTCGGTTTGCCCTGGTGAACTGCACGTACTCTACCAACAAGCTACATACTATAGCAAGTAGGCAAGTTACCTGCCTGCCGCGATCATCTCTTGACGAGCAAGGCCATGGATTTAGAGTACAGTGCTGCCAACCTCACAGACCATCTCCAATCAAAGGCTCTGTTTTGCCCCTCGTCACTATATGCTCAATTGAAATGAAAGGGCATCGGTGTCCGGATATGGTTTCGACGTCATTCCCTTGCAATCGGACCTCTCTCCGCATCTGCTACCTATCCGCTTCAACCGAGCCATTGTGCCAACGAGCGCTACGGTAACCTCCGTGGTAGATCTCTCCCCCAACGCGATGCTACCAATACATCGCTGCGCCCAAAAATAACAGCAGCCAACGTCGTTTTCTGGTCTGCTTCTGCGCGGTTGGCTCAAGGGAGCCCAGTGGTGTTGTGACATCCTTCGTACCAGTACCGCCGTACGATGGTATAGCCGAATCTTGGGCAGCGGTAGCCTTCTGTGCCGACAATACGGCAACCCACACTCACTTGTGCTTCCCGATTTGCTCTTCGCAAGCTGTGAGGATGATCGCATTGAGTAATCGTGGGGCAGATGATGACAAGGGTGCAAGGTTGCACTCCTTTTTTTGGCCATGTTTTGTTCAGCCTCATGACAGGCCAAGGGCAAAGGTTATTCTGGGGTACATTGTATTGGCCCAAGGTGGAGTGGGTGCCGGTAGCATTTCGGCTAGGATGTGGGCTATGGCGGATGGTCTACGGGAACGCTTAACGTCAACCTACTCGTGTTGAACCTCACAGTGGGGATAGGCTTTTGTCATGGTGGCGAGCTGGGTGGAACTTCATCATAGCTGATGGGCAATACGGTAGCTACCATGGTGGACTTTTCTGTGTATATAAAGACTCAGGTGTTCCACCCTTCCGATCATCATCCAACAAACAACCAACTCTACCACACAACCAGCACTTCCATCATTCTCAACTACTCCCACCACTACTCCAAAAACCCATCATCACCAAAATGCAATTCACCACCATCGCCGCCTCCCTCCTTGCCATCACCGGCCTCTCGGCCGCTGCACCTCTCGAGGCCCGCGCAGAGGACTGCCCTGTCGCGAAGACGGGCGACTCGGTCTGGAAGATCTCCGAGTTGTCTTTCCGCAAGCCTGATGGCAAGAACATCAACCAGATTCAATTCAACATCAAAGCCACCAACAACGGCACACTCGACTTCAACTGCGGTACCCAGGCCGACAATGTGGAGGACAAGAAGTTCTACGAATGCGGCGAGAACAGCTTCATGTGGTTCACCTTCAACCAGGAGGAGAACATATTGTTGCTGCAGCACAGTGTCAGCGACGAGTACGTTGCCCACCTCTGATCCCTCACCCACACAAGATTTTTGCTAACAACTTCAACAGCATCCAGTACGTGGGCGCTGTCACTCTTCCCAACTACTGCCGTGCCGGCGGTAACGGCATGAACGACTTCATCTGCACTGGAGTCGCCGATGCCTACATGACGCTTGCCCAGTACCCCGGTCTTGACAGGCCTGATGACAACTAAATCATCGAGTCCGGGATAGCATAATTCTACTGTACTCTTAGCGTGGATTTCGCATGGTTATTAATTGATGGAACGACTTTCCTTAATAGTGAATCTTAAATTCTTAACTGCTTACTTTTGATTTCTCTCTACTGTTGATATTATGTGACATGGTCGTTACAACGGGTAGCCCAAAGTTACAGCGCTTCAACTGCTCTTCGACTTGCGTATATCCTGACAACGCAGAACATACTTAGTTGCTTTTAACTTTCGCACTCGTCCAATTACACTGGCCTCTTAGGATAGTGGCTCTTGCAGGATACCTTTCAGCATGTTCGATGAAGCCAGGGCTGTTCAAGTTTGGGCGCGATATATCTATCGGGTGAAATAACATGGAAGGCGTAAACAATTCCATGTATTATGCTGAATCGCAAATGATCTGTTCTAGATAGGCTGTGTCGTGACTGTAGCGAAGACGAGAACAAGACACGCCCAGTGAAGCATGCAAAAGAAGGGCTTCAACCACAGTCGCCAACCACCAACCACCAACCACTCTTCCCCTTCCCCCACCAAAACCTCAAACCAACCACCTCAGCTCCCACCCCCTCGTACGAGGCTCGCAGCATCTGAAACACATCGTAAGCCTGCAAAACACGACTTGAAAACATCACGACCCCGTATTCACGTGACCTTGTCGCAAAACGCCGACCCAGAATGCGACGCGATCTCCATTGCCTCAACCATCAACCACCTTAATATTCCAGCCATGTCTCTTCTCTCGTACGCAAAAGACCTCGCATACAACCCCTCGCACACACAATGGCTCCTACCTCTTCTTCTCGTCGCCGACGCAGCCCTGTGCGGCGTTATCATCGATAGAATTCCATGTTCGTCAGCCCCTTCCATCTGTCCTGAACGAGAGGAAGATACCTGGGTAGTCGCGCAAAACCTCGGGGCCCATTCATCTCATATATCCCCTATCTTACACGCGCATCCAATGCATCGTGATGCATACATATATGCCTTGCCATTAAAGAAAAAAGTGGCAAATCTCATATGCTAACTAGACATGAAAATGCATTACAGACACGGAAATCGACTGGTCAACGTACATGCAGCAAATTGCCGTTTACCTCAAAGGAGAACGCGATTATGCCAAGATTACTGGGTCGACGGGCCCGCTGGTGTATCCTGGCGCGCATGTGTGGATCTACAAGCACCTGTATGCGTGGACAGACGAGGGACGCGATATCCAGCGCGCGCAGTACATTTTTGCGGTTGTGTATTTGGTGACGCTGGGAGTCGTGGGCTTGTGTTATAGACGGGCCAAGGTATGCATCAGACTGCCCAGACCAAAAGTTGTACAACTGCGTACATGCTTTCCCACGTGATGCTGATGGATTTCTTCTGCCACAGGTACCGCCATATGTTTTTCCGCTACTGGTCATCTCGAAGCGATTACATAGCATCTTCATGCTGCGGTGCTTCAACGACTGTTTCGCGGTCTTGGGACTCTGGCTCGCGGTTTACTGTTACCAGCGGAACCAGTGGCATCTGGGAAGCTTCTTCTACAGCACGGGTCTGAATGTAAAAATGAGCCTACTTCTCCCGCTACCAGCCATGGGCATCTTGATGGTGCAGAAGTTGGGTGGACGCGAGGCTCTCACGCAAGCTATGATCATTTTTCAGATGACGGTATGAAAGACCGAAAGCATCTCATGTGAAGACTGTAGACTCATTGACTCGGGCAGGTTCTCTATGGGTACCCCTTCCGCAAGCGTGCGCCTTCCTACTTCTCCAAAGCATTTGAGCTTAGTAGAGTGTTCATGTACAAATGGACCGTGAACTGGCGCTTCGTGTCGGAGTCGACGTTTCTCTCCAAGCCATTTGCCCTGGGCCTCCTCGCGGTCCATGCCGTGCTGCTCCTCTGGTTCGCTACAACACGCTGGATAAAACCATCTAAGCGCAGCTTCCGCGACTTCCTCAAACTAGCCATTCCAGCAAAGGAACCCAGAGACCAAGACGACATGGCGCGAAGAATCACGCCAGACTTCATCACGACGACTATCCTTACGGCAACCCTGATCGGCATGCTCTGCGCAAGATCGCTGCACTACCAGTTCTTCGCCTATATAGCATGGGCCACGCCATTCTTGCTGTGGAAAGCAGGCTTTCACCCAGTCGTACAGTATGTGCTGTGGGGTGCACAGGAGTGGGCGTGGAACGTGTATCCAAGTTCACCACTCAGCTCAGCAACAGCCGTCGGCGTGCTCGCAATCACGGTAGTGGGCACATGGTGGGGTACGCGCAACGAATACGCAGGTCCGATAAACGGCATCATCGACGACAACCACGAGCATAAGGAGTGATTGAGCAGCTCAATCTTCATCCGAATCAGCTGGTGGCAGCTTGCCAACGGTTGATTCCTCCTCGTCGCTGTCTTCCATGTACGTTGACTTCTTGACGAACTCCTTGGGCCTGTGGGGAGAAGCGATTAGCATCTTGTACTATACCTAGACCGAGCGATACCCAGTGCTAGATTATAACATCGGCGTACCAATAGGGCATCTTCCTCCACTCCTTTTCCTCTCTGACCACATTGACAATCTCCCCATCCAGCTTGTTGTTCCGGTCGGCCATGGCGGACATGTCGACCACCACGAAGCCACCACGCCTGATCCACACAGTAGACCGAAACTTGGGCTCAAGCTCGGCAAGAACCTCTTTGCCGTCTGGTAGCTGGGCGCTATAGAGGTTCTTGCCTTCTGCCTTGATGACACGGGCGATGTGGTGCGATTCGGGGAGGGTGTCGGGCGGGGTAATGGTAGCCTCGATCGTCTCCATGACGGCGCGCTTTGGGCGAGGCATATCTGGTGATGTGTGGGGGGTTGGTTGCGAGTGTGACGTGTTGTTGGCTGGTGTCTTGGGTCTACACGTTCTAGACTACGAAGGTTGGTGGAGGGCTGGAGCTCTGGAGTCTTGCATGTGAGTGCAGTTGGCACGTGACCTTTGACGCGTATCACGTGACGTTGGGTGGGACTGCGTTCCCTGTTCCAGGTCCGTGCTTGACTTGACTAAGCACACGTGCAACCCAAATCTACTCTAGAGTAGTAGGACTGCTAGGACTGGAGTACCAGAGGGCCCGATAAAGCCTGTCCACAAATTGACGCACATGGCTTTGAGGGGTTGCAGGTCCAAGGACTTGACAGGCTCACTGTCGGACCTTGCAATTCTTTCGTTCGCAAGCTGTACTCCTAACAGTATGCGGCTCTTCATGTATGACAACTACGCGGAATTCCAGGCCATCGATGACTGTTGAGGGTGTCATAAATTGGCTTAGTCACGTTACCGTACCCTACAGTAGGCATCTCGTCCAGCTTATCGTGGAAAGACTTCCATGCTCCCCACATTGACCGCTCAACAATTCTGACTTTCTTGCAAGGATTCTGCGAGCTGCTTTGTCTTTTACACATCTACAGGCAGGCACTCAATCGCCAGAGAAGGCTGAGCCAGGCTACCGACTAATTACTGATGCATCGTCTCCATCACAACACGACCTGAAAATTCAGCCACCAAAAGTCAAGATGACACCATCAACCTTCCATAATATCTTCGACATCCATCCCGCATCCAAAGTCGCCAGCCCACAGCCTACCTACCAAAAAAGCAAGAATAAGGCACCTGAGAATGAGCGCGACATCGGACTTCTTCCCGATATTGAACTGAACCACTTTGCCTCTGTTGCACGGCACAATGATACCAAATCAGCTGATCCAAGTACGCCAGAGCACCAAAACCCAAACGGTGCTCAGACCCCCAATACGCCTAATGAGTTGGAGATGAGTCGTCCACCAACACCACGGATGGAGGAGGCTGTCAGCCAGATCAGGACATGGAACGCTGACCCAATGACGAAATGGAGGATTCTGTGCTGTTGCATGATTTACCTTTCCAACGGAATCAACGACTCAGGTACGTCTGTCATCGAGGTGCAAAAGTGTGCACGACGTCGGGGTCGGGATCGGGGAGTGAAGACACTGACCTAAACACAGTGGTTGGTGCCCTAATTCCCTACATGGAGTCATGGTATCACATCTCCTACTCAATCATGTCACTAGTCTTCGTCGGAAACGCCGCTGGCTTCATCACTGCTGCCTTCTTCACCAATACTTTGTTGGGGAAATTGGGTCGGGCAAAGACTTTGATTCTCGCAGAGTTGATTCAGCTTTCTGCATACGTTATCCTGGTCTGCACGCCCCCGTACCCGCTGGTAGTAGTCTCGTAAGCTCCCTACCAATCTACAATCACCTTGATGCTGACTTTGACAGTTTCTTCCTTCTAGGCTATGGAGCAGCTATCAACCTGGCGCTCAACAACGTCTACTGCGCGCACACCCATCCACCTAGTGTCATCCTTGGTCTTGCTCACGGCTCCTATGGTGTCGGAGGCATCGTAGCGCCCGTCATTGGAACAGCGATTGTTTCTCAAGGCGTACTTTGGTCTCGCTTCTACTTCCTCACTGTCGGGCTTCGTCTGTGTTGTATTGCTTTCTCCGCATGGGCCTTTTGGTCCTACAAAGAAGAATCTGAGCATACACTCCTCACTACTCTCGAGATGACGGCTAGTAGGCAGACGGCTGCTGGAGAAGCAGTGTCCAAGTTCAAGGATCTGAAGCTCGCGCTGAAAAACAGGGTCACCGTCTTTGGAGCGCTCTTCATCTTTGCGTATCAAGGGGCTGAAGTCAGCATTTCAGGCTGGTTCATCTCGTACCTAATCAAGTACCGGAATGGTGATCCTACAAAGGTCGGATACGTCACAGCGGGCTTCTGGGTATGTCGCATCTCGCTTGAGTCGCAATGATGAGTGGCTAAACATCAGTACAGGGAGGCATCACACTTGGTCGCTTCGTCCTAACACACGCCGCACCTAGGATAGGCGAGAAGAATTTCGTCGTCATGCTCACACTTGGGACTGTGGTCCTCCAGCTCCTAGCATGGCTGACGCCCAATCTCATCGGCAATGCGGTGGCCGTCTGCCTGCTGGGCTTGCTGCTTGGACCGGTGTACCCATGTGCGCAGACCATTTTCTCGAGACTCATGCCCCGACACGTCCAGACAACGGCGATTGGCTTCATTGGCGGTGCAGGCAGTAGTGGAGGAGCCGTGGCGCCCTTCACCACTGGTATTCTTGCACAAGCTGCTGGAACCTGGGTGCTGCATCCCGTGTGTCTTGGGCTGTATGCAGCCATGTTGGCCTGCTGGTTTGCACTGCCTAGGCTGCATAAGAGGAAGGATTGATTGGATCAATGTAGATTATTGACTTTTCAGCCTTTCAACGCGGTTTGGAATCTGACACTGACAGTTTAGCTACCGGTAATGATTGGTGGTTGGTGAACGGATCTCGCACATCTATCGTTGCGACCACCGGTTCATTTCACAGGTAAAGAGACTAGTTACACGAGTAGATCGCCCGGAAATTCCACATTCGCAATATCGTACGTGGCTTGCGCATTGCGTACTGTATGTACTATCCTATCGGTTTTGCAGTGTAATGAGGGACTCCCGAGGACGGGACGGGAGATGGCCGGCGGTGGGCACGTGTGGCTTGGCAATACGCCCAATGCGCATGCAACTTTAAGCTCAGCCTTGAGGAACCACCAGACACTTCACATTCCCACGCCACACGGGACGGCTTTGTTATCACACTCGGGCTGTATTTACCTAATCCGTCGACACTTGTGATGCTTGTGAGCGTGAGATACCCGACGCCACCAGGCCATCTTGGAATAGGCAGCGCTACAGACGGAAACAACCAGTTCGTGCTACGGAAGCCAATACGCTGTTTCGTTCTTTAAACGAAACTTTGCTATAGTCATGTCGACTACTCTATCCCGACAGAAACCCGATGCCGCAACCTGTGGTGAGCAAAAGTAGGAGGGGGGCCAAGTTTTTGTTTGCCTATCGTGAATGGTCTTTTGGTCTGTTGCAAAGAGTTGGCATTCCCTCGCCTTTCTCAGATTGGCTGACCGGCACACAATGAGGCTCCAGGGGCCGGTTTGGGAGCGTTCCGCGAACCCGTGCTGTACAGTAGGTGTGCATGTATTTGATGTGCCACACCACAGGCAGCCACCGCAAGAAATGCGAGTTTCCGCCCCCAATCGTGCCTGATAAAAGCCGAGGCACCCACTACATGCCTAATACCTAGTCCATCCAGTCACTGCGGCCTTTATTATATTGTCCTTTTGGTGGCGATGTTCGACCGCATCGATCTCGATGAATGCCATTCAAAATTTTCCGCAAACACTTCTCTGCACGAGTTGTGGGGTTGGCGTGGACTGACCGTTGGTTTTGCACACAATTACTCAACACTGATCTCCCGAGAAGGATGCAAGGCAGTGTGTGGCACAGGCACAGAATACTACTCATGGAATGATGTATCTAGTACGATCACAACATGGATCTTGCCTGTGATTGGAACATTGCTACAGGCTCCGTTCGAAAGCAATGCAGCTCGGCGTACTTTGCTGGCCATTGCACGCTGGGTCGGCTCGCCTATTGCATCGTTATCCTATGTTCTGTGGAATATCAAGGTTTCTGCGAAAGCAGCCGTCATGGTTGATATGGCGGTCAAGTATGACCAGACGCCGGATCGCAGAACCGACTTTGGCAGCATGAGAGATTCCATGTACCTATTACTTGTCATGAATCAGTACTCCATCAAGTCCACAGCAGCATTAAGCGGAAAAGAGGCAGAGGGGCTCTTACGCATCGTACTGTTCAGCAAAGATCTCAAATTAACAGACACGGACAAAACTTTGCGCCAGATGAGACGTATCCTGGCCCGAGAGCTGCGTGATATGAGACGGCGGGGAGTAGTGCCAGGTGAGTAATCGTGTTCAGGAAGGGCTGCAGCATCAATGCTAACTTACACAGTCTTTGTCTCAATTCTGTGGTTTGTCTTTGCTTTTGCGCTGTCAATCCAAGCGGCATTTGGTGACCTGGGCGGGAACACTACTGCCCACGATCTAGCACTGGGCTGCTTGCTAGCTTGGTTCCCCATCCTGATAATGGGCTCCATAGTCGACCGGAATCCCATTGCTGCAGAAGCGATTCGGAAAAAGCTGAACGCTATCGTGGATCACGTACGGCATGCGTTGCGCGATAATGAACATCGCAAAGAGTTCATAAATACATTTCAAGACCAGGACGATTTTGAACAACTTCGGTCCTGGGTCAATAAGGTCACATCCAAGGGCGAGCACATGGACGACTTTTTTGTCGAATTTGCAGGCCAAGCACGTATACGTTGGCATTACGGTGTCGCACACCCTATTCTTTCCGACATCGAAAATTGCTACATTGCGGAAAAAGGCCGCAACTGGCTAGCGAAAGAACAAGAAGCCAGATCGAAGCTCGTGTTGGGACCAGTGAATGACGAGGGGCTTATATGGTTCGATGTGCGTGAGTTCTGGCAAGTCATGAGCGCCATCATCATTGTTGGGGGAAGCTGCGGAGGTGCTTTCGTCATCAGCTACTTCACACCCACAGTTGGGCTTGGATGCCGAAGCGGTGGATACACTATCTTCTTTTCTGTCGCGTTGGGTCTTCTGATCATGGAGATGGCCGTTTGGCTGGCACTCTCACCATACCATGTCGAGGCACAATGGCTGAGGCATACGGGGACTCGCTTGCATACCATTGACACTTTCAACCGCTTAGAAGACGATGCTCACAACCGATGGAGAACGTTCAAGAGACGGGTATCAGGGCTGGTCACAACTACTAAGAGGGGCCTACTCCGCCTCGTTGTCCGCATGGCAATGAGCATACCATGCGGAAACATGAAAGCTCGAAAGCAGCGCGTGGAAAGCGCGATAACGGACTTTTTTGTGGACATATGCTCAATGAGCCCGCAAAGAAAGTGGGGAGTCTTCTTCTTTCGGCCTGCTGAGGGTTTCAGCACCATTTGGCTGGTAGGTACATTCAGCGGCAAGCGTCTACATGTTGCTAAGCTAACCTGCGCATGCAATAGATCTACATAGTACTTGCCCAAGTATTTGGAGTGTACACGACCTGTGATTGTCTCACCAGTAACTGGGCTGGTGGTGGTGGCTATCTCGACTTTGTCGTCCAGGACACATCAAACCCCAAATGGGTGTTATGGTACTGGACTGCTGGAACGCAGTTGACTGCACTTGTCATGATCTTTTCGATGTTTTACATTACGGTTGAAGTGAGTACTGTCTATGCTATACCTTTGCGATGCTAACACACACTTTCAAAGTGGTGTCAGCAATCCTTTCTATCGACCGAAGACTACGAGGACGCAATGGATGGACTGCGTATGACACGCAAATACAGGCACTGGACCTACATCTTTCGCCTCTTGTCTCGGTTGCTCTCAAGCATCACTCTCACACCTCTAGAGAAGCTGGCAATATCCATTGGCCTGGTAAGGAAACCGCAAAAGACGCTGTTGTGGACCAAGGATCATAGCTGGAGTCCTGAGGTTCCCCTGGCACACTCAGAACCTGCAGTCGCGACCAGCTACGCAAGCCCATCGCCTTCCTTCGAGCTCACCGATAAGTCAGGTGTCGCGGCAAGGGATGGGACCCAGGTTGCAAAGACACCCGCGATGGCGCATTCACTGTTCCGGTCTGCTTTTACCACATGGCCCCGCAACGAAAGTGACGCCTCTATACAACCTATATCAATCCATGCTCAACACCAGGCGAGTGGCGAATCACACCAGCCATTGATACGACGACCGACAGAGGCCCATCATACTCGTGGCGAGATGGGAAGCCGAAGTAGTGGCGATGGACGTGTGAGTCTCGAGGACAGCTACCTCTCTGCATCGCCGCCCGAGAGGAGCAGTTTGCTTGGTCCCAATGTGGCATTGCATAGTAGACAGGGGTACCGGCGGGCCAGCTCGGATCCTGGGATGCCGCCGAGCGATCTGATGGACACGAGCCAAAATGCTCGGGAGATTGGGGTGCAAGATGTAGATTTGGAGAGCGGGTTATGTTAATGTGTGATGGTTGTAGAAGTACCGGTAGCGTTATCTGATTGTCATCCATCTTATCTACTTTGTCATTCAAGCATACCGGTACATGAGGAGGTTGATAATACCACCGTTTGGCAAGCAGCCCGATGGAGTGCCCCTGAAATCTTGAAGACGCCTGGTAAAGTACCTGGCATTTCAATCATGTTTTCGTAAGCAATGTCGTCAAGACCAGGCCCAAGCTACCTTCTCTGGCCCGTGCGGAACCTTGCTCGCGTCACGTGCACATGCACGGAACCGGAAGCCTTTCACCTTGCGTCACAGCCTATCACGTCTCCACTCATCGATCCGTTCCGCCTTGTTATGCTAATTCCGCAATCCAAGACGCAACGGCACCCCGCAACAGTCGGAATGGGTTGCAGGCACGCCTGGAGAGTCCGGGGTCGAGCGTGTATAACATGAGAGTGGGCGTTTGTGGGATGCGATGAAAAGAGTCATGAGGGCCCGCTCTCCTTGACAATGTTACCGGTATAGTCCCGCACGACCAGGCACGATGATTTCCACAATTCTGCCCCTTCTCTTGCAGCAATCTGCAGATCATCCTGTTCTCTCGCTGCTACTCCTCCTCATCGCAGTTCCCATTGCATACATTGTCGGTAACGAGTACGTTCGCTACGCAAGACGCATCAAAGACTTTTCTGGACCACCCAATTGGCCGCTGGTGGGTAACATCCCCGATATCAAGTACAACGCGGCAGAAAAGTACAGGGAGTGGAGCAAGAAGTATGGCGCGGTCTATCAAATCCAACTGGGCAATGAACCAGTGATTGTGGTGAACAGTGCGGAGAGCGCAAGGAAGATCTTTGGAGGAAACAGCCAGGCGTTGAGCTCGAGGCCAGTGTTCTGGACGTTCCACAAGGTAGGTTCGATCACAGTCTTCTATTCTGGTGGCTTGCTGATGACGGTATGGTAGGTCCTCTCGAACACAGCAGGCACAACAATTGGCACATCACCTTACAACGAAAGTCTGAAGCGTCGTAGAAAGGGCGCAGCGTCTGCACTGAACAAGCCGTCCATTGCAATGTATATCGACCACCTAGATCTAGAGACCAAAGACTTTATCAAAGAGGGCTTCGAAGATGGCAAGGCGGGTACGGTCGGCGTGAATCCCATGCCCATGGTCGAACGCCTCTCGCTCTCCCTCGCTCTCACACTTAATTGGGGAACTCGAATGGGCAGCCGCCACGACCCCATGTTCCACGAGATCTGCGAGGTTGAAGCAGCAATCTCCAAGTTTCGCAGCACCACGGGCAACCTGCAAGATTACATTCCCATCCTACGTCTCAATCCATTTAGTTTCGGTACGAAGAGCGCAAAAGAGCATAGGAATCGTCGAGACGTTTACCTGACTCGTTTGAACTGCGATCTGGACGACAGAATGGAAAAAGGCATCCATAAGCCCTGTATCCAAGCCAACATCATCCAAGACAAGGAAGCCGCGCTGAACAAGGAGGAACTGACCAGTATCAGTCTGACCATGTTGTCTGGTGGCCTAGACACAATCACAACGCTTGTGCAGTGGAGTGTAGCGCTCCTAGCCCAACGGCCAGATATCCAGAGAAAGGCGGTTCAGGAGATTCGAAAGTACTACTCTGAGAACGAGCCTCTGGCAGACGCATATGATGACCAGAAGTGTCACTACGTGAATGCGTTGGTGAAGGAATGTTTGAGGTACTATACCGTGCTGCGGTTGGCGTTGCCGAGAGCGACAGTCAAGGATGTCATGTATGAAGGAAAGTTGATTCCTGCGGGAAGCACCATCTATCTCAACGCATGGGCGTGCAACATGGGTAAGCTGTCCCCGTCCCCTCGTCTTTCTTCACCACCAACTAACCCGCCACTCAACCCCACAGACCCAGAGGTTTGGGCCGACCCCGAAACCTTCCGCCCCTCGCGCTGGCTCGAACAACCCGAGGCCCCGCTCTTCACCTATGGTCTTGGTTACCGCATGTGTGCCGGCTCGCTCCTGGCCAATCGCGAACTATATCTCGTATTCCTGCGCATGTTGAATAGCTTCGAAATCGTGCAGGACTCGGAGGTGGATGTGCATCCTGTGAGGGGCAGCAGCGATCCGACGAGTCTGGTCACCATGTGTAGGCCGTACAAGGTGCTGTTCAAGCCGAGGAATGAGGGGGCGTTGAGGGAGGCGTTGAGGAGGGCGGATGAGCGGTTGGATGGGAAGGCTTGAGGGAGGGAGGGAGGGTTGAAGTAGTACGATTTGGGAATGTTCATTCAGCACAATGCCATGGAAGAATATAACATTGAACATTTCAGGTCATAGTAAGACCTGCAGACAAACATGTAGAGTAGTAGGCCAGCAGATGTGAACATATACCCATGCGACGCGTCCAAATTGCCACCATGTGTTGGAGTCAACCAAGGGATCATGTAGATGGATCTGTCTTTTTGAATGGCGGATACCGTACTGGATACTAGAGGCAGGCTTTGTCTATTGCATCTGTACTCTATGCAATGCCTACCTGAAGTGTGATGCCACTAGCATTGACTTAGTTGCACGCCAGACGAGCGGGAAGGGCGGGCTGCAGGGATCTCTTGACCCGTTCAAGTTCCGAGATGATCTCGACAGGGTTGATGATTACTGTGGCCCCAACTCCCACATGATCCGGCAAGTATCCTCGTTTGACAAACAATGTGTCACATAGTCTCACCCGCTGCTCAGCGTGGCCAGTCTTTGCCATCGACTTCTCCTTTCCTTCCTGTAAAGTACCTCTCCCCTCGAAGGTCGAAGTGTCCGCCCTCCCCACTCCCAAGACCACGCATGCCCCGAGTCTCCCTTACTTATCGCAAATGACGGCGCATAGCGCGCCGTGCAATGCGTAATCTGACCGCATGGTAGCAGCAAGAGGCCGCTCCACCAGTCGCGGGTGGTTGCAACAAGGCCTGATACGGAGCAACATGCTGGGAAAGACGCTTCTGCCCGGTGACGAAGAGTTGGGCAAAAAAGACGACGACCACAGATTTCTGCCTGTGCGGCGTTCCGCATGGTCAGGCTGGAACCACACGTTTCGCTGGAGACGGCGGAGGAACGTGCTGTTGGCCATTGCCGCCTTGTTGCTGTGGTTCCTCTATCGCAGCACAGGAGCCACGCTGAGCGTTGGGGAATTGGGCGGTGCGAGTGAGTATGCCGACTTGGATTTTCGCCCGAGGAAGCCGCATACGCCGTCTACCGTGGCATTCGAGAAACCGGCGCACGACAAGGACGAACCCAACGGTGCGCCCCCGGGCATGGTCAAACCCCAGGCTGGAGAAGCCGTGCCACACACATATGATGGCAAGGTCCGCTTCTTCCGACTTGCGCCCTCCCTTCGGTCCGCGTCTTTACAAACAGCCGGGGAGGATGAAAAGAATCGCAACATCCTGTTCGCCATGTCAAGCCTGCAGAGCGCGGCGAGGCTGATACCGATGCTATGCGAGATGAGCATGGGGAAAGACGTTCATGTACATGCTGCCCTGATGGGGCGGGAGGACATGGGGCTCGAAGACTTGCTCGAGTTGAATGGTGTCAACGAGGAGCACTGCACGGCAATATGGCATGATGCGCGGGCAGACTACTCAGAGTATAGCAGCGATAGGAGAGCGGAGGGCGTGGTGACGGGGGCCATGGGACATATCAACACATTTCTACACCCACAGGCCGTCATCACAGATGATTCTCAATCAGAGGATGCCTTCTTCGTCAGGGGCATGAGGAGCAAGACGAGTTTGCTGAAGATGCCGTTGATCGAGGTGCCAAAAGATCGGTTGGCAGACCTCATGTGGCTCACGCGCCTCGATGCTAGGTCCCTGAAGCACTGGCATACGCCCAAGCTGGATATCCTGATCCAAGTCCCGCCCGCATCCTCAAGCGTACTGCGACTTTTGAAATCCCTCGAGGACGCCGACTACAGTGGTCTCACACCGCCGCGCATCATCCTCGAACTCCCTGCCAACCTCGATGCGTCTGTCAAGAGGCGCCTAGAGAAGTTCGAGTGGCCACCCCACAAAGATGCAGACAGCCCGTCTGCGCCCCGAGGTCTCATCATCAGGCGTCGCATCACGAAGCTCTACAGCACACAGGAAGATGCTGCCATCCGCTTCCTCGAGCTATTCTATCCCCACAACGACGACTCTCATGTGCTCCTGCTATCTCCCCAAGCACAACTTTCGTCCCAATACTTGCACTATGTCAAGTACACTTTGCTCAAATATCAATACTCCACCTACGAGCAAGGCGGGAGTACCGACACCACATTGATGGGTATCAGTCTCCATCTTCCCACCACTCTTCTCGACGGTCAATCGCCCTTGACGCGGCCGGGGCTGGGTGACATGCACACTGAGCGGTACATGAGGCGGTTTCCAAACGTCAAAAAGGTACCATTCTTATGGCAAGCACCAGAAAGCCACGCGACGCTCTTCTTTGGTGAAAAGTGGGCAGCTTGGTACGACTTCCTTGGAAACCGTGTGCTCAAGCATCAGTCTGATGCGAAAGCCAAAGCGCGGAAAAAGGAAGTCAGCGAGACGATGCCGAGCTGGGCAGAGTATATGCTCGAGTTTATGCGTGCAAGGGGCTACGCGATTCTGTATCCAGCCACTACCTCACAGGCATTGGTCACGGTGCATAATGAGCTCTATCATGCACCGGATGAATATACGCCGCATCCAAAGGAGGACTCCACTGAGCCACCATCAGATGTCCAAGAACCATTCCTGAAGGGTGATACACAGCCACCTGCTCCATCTTACCAGGAACCACCCTCCCTCGCCCCATCCACCCCGCTCCTCGATGCCCTCCCCTTTTCAGGAGAATTACCGGAAATCCTAGACTTGCCCTATCTCCTGCACACAGGCCAACATCTCGTACACGACCAAGTTTATAAGACAGCAGAAGACTACGCAAATGTATTCCGCGCAGAGGTTGGTGGATGCCCGAAGTTGAAAGAGGGCAAAAAACCAAACGTCTTCTTGGGCAAATCGGCAGACTTGTTTTGTTTCGGCGACGAAGAGGAGGAGGATTGGGAGCAGAGTGAGGACGAGCTTGGGGAGTTGAAAGAGGAGTTGGACGGATTAATGGCCGAGGAGGCTGGGCTGCATTCGACGAGTGCGACTGTGTCGAGTTCGACGAGTACGAGGATGCCGGATGTGGGCAAGGCAACTGGCCCAGCCGTTGCTGATGTGTATTGAGACCTAAACGGCGCTGATGAAGAAGAGCATTGCTCAACATGTAGAATTATGGGGCTCATTGCACGTGGTTTCATGGTGCCTAGGGGATGGGAGGTTTAGTTTATTCGTTGTGTCGGATGGACACATTGTAAGGGCGCATAGCGTATTGTATTTCTTCTTATGGAGAGAGCATGGAACTGTACATTTTTAAATCCATGGCCAGCTGCAAGGTGATATACTGGATTTGCTTTGGAGATGCAAGCATTCATGTCTTGCTGCTGTCAGAGTCACGTGTTCGAATCGTCTCTTTTTTCCAGTGATTGGGTGGCGGCGGCCATTGAAGTCTTGGCGACCGAGGCTGCTTCACGCTAACCACGAATGACGGAAACGAACTTTTGCATTCGCCGCGTACGAAACATTTCACATTTCACCTTCTGGACAACAACACGACGACGAGAGGCCTGTTCCGGTCAGTCAGCCAGCTATACTCGCCAACAGGACTGTTCTGCTCAATCGTCCTCGAGCTGTCTGTTGTGGCGTAGCGTATTATTTCATTTCGAGGAGTTTGGCCTGGATTGGGGATTTTTTTTTCTTGATACCCCCAATTAGACAGACTATCCCACACACGTCGTGAACATCCAGACGACGGTCATAGCCTCCCTTTCGACTATCGTTAGCCCGGCGGCAGTCCACGCATCCCCACCACTCGCACCATGATGCTCACGCGAGCAGCCGGACGGAGGCTACGAAGAGATGCCTTTAGAACATCCGCGACAGTAACAGACCAATGGATGCTGTCACGGCTACGGCCATCACAGCTGCGGAGGAGCTCCAATTTCCCCTCCTTGGCCACACAGACAACCGAATCCAGACGGCAGCGGCGACCGTCCCTTTCGTCGAGGAATGAATTACGACGGCTGGCGACAACCGCCGAACTCCAGCCAAACCCCTCGTCACCCGCCTTTCATTCCTTTCCTCAACAGGCATGGACAGCTCACAACAACCCTGCTGTCCTCTCACAGCTACCTTCCTGGGAGAACATGACACCCATCGTCATTCACGACTCTGTGGCTGCTGCGCCACCCGTGCGAGATTTACACGGATACGGTGCCAATCCGCTCGAACTGCACCAAAACCTTTACGCTTGCTTACGAATCGGTCGGATGGAACGGGCGTCAGTGATACTCGAACGTCTAACGGGACTTTATAATATATCTGCGGCCGAGGTCACGGACGCACACAATGTCTATCTCATGGCTCTGCTCGAGACGGTCCTGCAGGAGCCCAAGGAAGATTCCATGACCGCTGTCGAGAAGTGGTACCGCAAACGCATCCTCGGCAAAGGCGTAATTCCCAATGCACAAACCTACGTCAGCTTGATACGAGCGGCCATGAACCTACTTGACGGGGGTGCCAAAGAGGACAAGATTCGGGAGATATTACAGGCAGCCGAACAGCAGGGTCCCGAAGTGGTGGATGGGATCAATGGGTCGCCCGAATTCACCGATGAGGAATGGGACGCGTTGATCCGCCTACAGCCTGAAGCTTACGAAGACCCCCCGGCAGTGGAAGAGGTCCAGCATCTCAACACCAGCACCCCATCTGCACGTGACAATATGCGCGACCATGGCCTGGAAGAGGCCGCTACTCCCTATATCAATCCAGTTGCACAGAAGGGGCTTGGTCTAGAGTCGCTCAAGCACGCGCTTGGCATGTTTGAAACGTTTGAAAGCGCCGTCCCATATCCACACGACATGGAAGGAACAGAAGAAGAAAAAGATCGGGCACATGCCTATGCGCGGCAATTGCGCATGGAGCAGGATTCTCTGGACGCCGCTGTGGACCGATGGAAGCGAGAGGACGAGAAGATGCAAGAAATGGGCATCCATGGCGTACTCAAGAGCAAGCCTATTCAGGCCATCATGCATAACTGGTATCAGGCTCTCGTACCACTCTTCCGCCAACGCATATCTCATGCCACAAAAGTCTTAGCCGCAGGCCCCAAGGACTTCGTCCGCGAGGATGCCTCTGCATACGGACCCTGGTTGACACAAAGCAAACCGGAAAAGCTCGCTGCCATCACTGTCGCACGCGGTATCAATTCGTGCATGCGCGGCCACAAGGAGGACGGGACAGCTATGAAAATCTCCGCCCTGTCCGTCTCACTCGGGACGGACATCCAAGACGCTCTCAATTCCGAGGTTGCGGTTCGAAGAGCTGCCTTTATCCGGAAACAGCGCAAACAGACAAGAAAACAGCTTGTCGAGAAACTATCTAAAAATTCACCCGAAGAAGCATCCACAATCTCTGCCACACAGTCGACTACAGTCCCCGAAGTTTTGCCTGATTTCGCCAAGCGTGAGATTCCCCTGTCTATACGAACGAAACTCGGGGCCATGTGTTTGGAACTACTCCTTCGGGCAGCAACCATGACAGTTGTCGCGGTAGACCCAAAGACAGGAGAAGAGGTCTCAACCAACATTGCTGCATTCCATCACCAAGTCAGTTTTCACCAGGGCAAGAAGGTAGGATACATTGTCCCACACCACGATCTTATGGCGAAATTGCGAAACGACTCGGTTCGCGCCATTGCCAATGTCAAACTGCCCATGGTTGTAGAACCAAAGAAGTGGACGAGTTACGAAGACGGTGGATACTATACGACACCGCAAAAGGTTGTGCGTCAAAAGCTTGGCGACAGTGCACAACGGGCCTATGCTCAGTCGGCGATTGACAATGGCGACATGCAAAAGGTTCTCTCTGGGCTGGACGTGCTCGGCAAAGTCCCATGGCAGATCAACAATGCCGTTTTCGACGTCATGGCTCAAGCTTGGAATAACGGTGAATCTATCGCTGGGCTTGTATCAGAAGAACTACGCGTTCAACGCCCCCCGGAGCCACCTGCCGACGCCCCTTACCGGGATCGAGCAGAGTGGAGCAAGAAGCTACAAGAGTATGAGAACGAGAAGGGCGGTCTGCATTCGCAAAGATGTTTCCAGAATTTCCAGCTGGAGACGGCGAGAGCATTTGCCAGGGAAAAAGCAATATACTTCCCGCACAGTGTAGACTTCCGTGGTCGCGCGTACCCGATACCCCCCATTCTCAACCACATTGGCTCGGACATTTCCCGTGGCTTGCTGAAATTTGCTCATGGTAAAGAGTTGGGGCCAGTTGGCTTGCAGTGGCTCAAGATTCATCTGGCCAACTTGTATGGATTTGACAAGGCTAGTCTGCGGGAGCGGGAGCAATTCGCCCTGGACAAAATGGACGAGATCCGTGATTCCGCCACTAATCCCTTGACCGGCCGACGGTGGTGGGCTAGTGCAGAGGATCCGTGGCAATGTCTGGCCTGCTGCATGGAGCTGAAGAGTGCTTTTGATCTTCCTGACCCAACTCGATATGTGTCTCAACTACCGGTTCATCAAGATGGAACTTGCAATGGACTACAACATTACGCCGCTCTAGGAGGTGATCACGCCGGTGCCCGTCAAGTCAACCTTGAACCGTCCGATCGTCCTCAAGATATCTACACGGGTGTTGCTGAGCTCGTCAAGGAGGAGGTGGCAGAGGATGCTGCTAAAGGGAAGTCCCACGCCAAGTTTATCGAGGGCTACATCACCCGCAAGGTTGTGAAGCGGACGGTGATGACCAATGTGTATGGTGTGACCTTCATGGGAGCCAAGGCGCAGGTCTATGACGAGCTCAAGAACATATTTCCCAACTTTGTGCCAACCGGAAAAGTCTTTACCCTGCAATCAGTCGCCATCTACATTGCAGCAAAAATCTTCAGTGCATTAGGCAAGATTTTCAACGGTGCACAAGAGATTCAGTACTGGCTCGGCGAATGCGGTGATCGTATCACGACCTCCATCTCCCCCGATCAGGTTCAAATGATCAAGGCCCGTGTTGAAGGAGACGAGAGTATTTTCTACGATGCGAAATACAAACCGCCAAAGAAGATTAATGATTCCATGAAGAAGAGGCTGTCGAAGAATATGGAGGCGTTCAAGACCAGTATCATTTGGACAACGCCGCTCAAGATGCCAATCGTACAGCCGTACAGAAAGGACAGCGTCCAGATCATCCGGACCAAGGTTCAAGATATCACAGTCCAAAAGCGAACCATGGCTGACCAAGTCGACAAACGGAAGCAGCTCCAGGCTTTTCCACCAAACTTTATCCACTCCCTCGATGCCACCCACATGATTCTCTCAGCACTCAAGTGCAGCGAAATGGGCCTCGATTTTGCCGCCGTGCACGACAGTTTCTGGACTCACGCCTCCGACATCCCCACCCTCAATGTCATCCTCCGCGATGCCTTTGTACGCATGCACTCGGAGAATATCGTCGACCGACTCGCTGCCGAGTTCGCAACACGCTACGCTGGCCACATGCACCGCGCCTCGCTCCTCGCCAGCGCACCTGTCAGTAGGCAGATCACAGCCTGGCGCGCCAGGCATCGTAAGATGACTGGTACAACTATCAAAGCAAATGAATCCCGCCCAGGCGCTGCATCTTTTGATGAGGTCGCGCTCGAAGCCAAACGCCAGGAGCTTCTCAACAGCAAAGACCCGGCAGAACGGGCAAAGGGCGAAGAGATGGTAACTCCAACGTCTATATGGCTCGCGAACCCAGATACCAAGGCCTTTGCCTCCTTCCGCATGGCTTTATTGGGTGAGACCAAGGGCAGTAGTTCCACCCGCACAGACGAAGTCCGCGACAAAGTTCGCACTGCGGAAGCAGAAGCCACTACCGATGATTCCGCTACGTGGACGTCTGATGTAGAATTTTCGCCCGAGGAAGACCTGGAGCAGGAAGAACTCGACGCTGATGCCAGCTTCGATGAACCAGTACCCAAAAAGGCCGCCTCCAAAACCGCAGCCGAGCGCCAGCAAATCCAAGTCTGGATCCCTCTGACTTTCCCGCCTGTTCCGCAAAGGGGAACCTGGGACGTCAGCCGTTTACGAGATAGTAAATACTTCTTCTCATGACTCAGTCCGGCTATTCGTGGGGGTGACAAGGAGAGGGACTACATGGCTCCGGATGATACCGACTGGCCGATTAGGACAAATAAAAAGGTACGCCAGGCTAGTCTGCGTGGAAAAATGGAGCCCTGGGGTGGGGTGGATGTGGAGGGATACCGCATGTGGAGGGCAAGCAAAGGGGATGAAGGGACTACAGTGGAAGGAAGGAAGAGGAAGGCCGGGGAGACGAGAGGACGCAAGACCAAGGGATATGGGGATTAGGAAGAGCAAAAGGCCGGAATTTTAAGGTTGGAATCTTGATCGCATTGCGTTGGTGTTTTCTGGGCAAAAAGGTGCATTTGTTTTGGTGGCGGCTATGTGTGGAGACGTGATGTTGACGTACGTCTGTCATGTTTTTCCAACGCCATGTCATGATGCATTTATTTCTTCTCATTTCATGTACGACTATTTGCTTAGGTGCAGTGTGATGTACTTGTCGCTTGTAGATATACATGTATACTGTGTACCAAGACAAAATACAAAATACAACCAACCCCTCGGTCAGTGCGTATGATGGTCTAGGCCGCGTGATTTGCAAATTCTACATTCGCATTTTGCTGGCGCGGCTCATCTTGCTCTAGGAGGTGTTTGGAGAGAGGAGAGAGGAGAGAGGAAAAGAGAGGAGGAAAGAAATGGCAAGAGTAACCCGGCGCATTGCTAGGTCTCGAAAGTCGACGTTTAAAAACCAACTTGTGCTCTTGATATCCCCTCTCCTGCCTCTAAGCCTCTAATGTGGATTTTCTCATGCATACATATGTACATATATACCTTGGGCCGACTTTGATCCTAGATTTTGCAGTGACTTTAGCATATCATGAGCGCAAAATCTGGGGCTACAAGTTGTGAATGGTAATGAAAAACCTTCATCCCTAGATCAAAGTCATGCTTTGTCTGGCGCGAGAATCAAGACCGAGATGTGAATCAAGGCTGTTTGTGGTTCTGTTGGGAAGTCTTTCTGACAAGTCAAGAAGAAGAGTCTTACTTGTCGGATAAATACCATGGCAGATATGCGTGACGTGGAGGCCTATTGGGGACTTGTGGTGTCTTGTGTATCTTTATTAGAATTTCCAGCTATACTGTATATAATCCAAGTCCACAATATGCCCTTGAAAGATGATACCAGCTGTATGACGTCTTTATAACGCCACCAAGGTGTTTTTTCTAGATCTCATACAGCCGTCAGGCTTGCAACATGGCCCGGGTGGTCATTCCCATGACGCAGTACTGGATAACTACTCCGTCAGAAGAACAGTTGGTAGAGATTGAACAGCGCACAAACCCCAGTCGGCATGTGCTTTGAGTATGAGATGCAAACCTAGAGCCCTACTACACTGCAGTACACGACAAAGCAGGCCTGATGGTCCTCCGTAGCGCCAGGTATGACTTGTGATACCGTGAATTTGCATTCCATTGTACTCTTGCCTTCCAGCTCAAGGCTTCATTTCCTAGCTGTCGCATTCGAGTCGCCACGTTGTACCGTCGTCGAAGCTTGGATTTAGGATTATAGGGAGTCGAGCACGATACTCATGCATGGCTGCCTGGAGAAGTAGCATGGTATGCTATCATTTTGGTATATCCCGCTGCATTGCAAGTTTGTGGAGATGTTGATACTGTATAGGATAGTGTCGTTTTGATTGTACGGGTTAGTGCAAAGCAGTTGTGGAGCAGTTTGGTTTGTCACGTTTGGTGGTTTGATTATTTGACCCTCAGATTTTGATGATAAGAGTCCGGTATCATAGTGTAGTTATTTTTTGTTTCTCTCATTCTGCATACACTACGGTACAAAACCGGTTTACAGTAGCCATATTTATCTAAAGGAGACTAAGAGGTGGTTTAGGTAGAAGAAGTAAACCTAAATAGGGTTTATTATACTATATATTCTATAAGAGTAAACTACTTTTATTTCTACTTCTATTAAATCTACTAGTAGTATATAGTAATAACTAGTTTCCTACTAACTATTTAAGTATTTTACCCTCCTTTCTTTAATCTTCTTCACCACCTCCACTACCTATACCACTACTACCTCCTCCACCACCTCTACTATCACCTCTACCACTACCTATACCACCACCTCTATCACCACCTCCTATTAGTGAAAATATCATGACTTATTATTATATTATATGTGCGTATAGTATAAAGCTAATCTTCTCTACCCCTTTTAGTCTTAGCTAGGTATTATAGCGTAGTAGAAATAAAACTACTTTTTATATTTAATTTAAACCCCTACTATAAAAGTAAACCACCACTTTAAACCTATTTATAGGTATACACGAGGTTAGTTTACACCTATATAGTAAACCCCTAGCGTACCATTCTACACTAAACAATTTTTTACCGTAGTGGTAGTCTATGGAGTCGTTACCTTTTTCCCTGAGTGCAGATACTGATCTACTTCCTAAAAGCCCTTATTATTCTTGGTGGTATCCCTGTTATTCTTATTTTGTATTATGGAGCTTTAAATGTTGCCACCATTACATGGCCTTGCGCTGTAGTGTTTGCAGTTTGGGGCGCTGTTTAATGTTGATTACAGTTACTGATTAGTGATTGTTTCTGATGCTCGCTGCGCTCGTAAAAGTCCAGCAGAATGATTATTTATTAGTTTGATACATATAACACTCGCTGAAACCTTCCGCTCCTTATTTGAGAGCATCCATGGTGCGTTGATTTGCCTTTGAAAGCAGTGTTGTCAGGGCCCGGCGCGAAAGCTGCGGGATCTGCCATCGCTTAAGCCTATCATGCTTAGATATCGCCCTCATCTACGTAGAGGCATCTCGCAGTGCTGAGGGTGCTTCCTTTCGTTATACGTGTGGCTATCATAGTATCGGTGGTGATCGTCTTAGGAACGTGATCCTTATGGTCTTTTTAGCTTGGAACTTAACACCTTGAAATTGGCAGAAGCCCTCTATACTTTCCATCTTCTCGCCTCATCGGGCCCCAAAGAGAGTGGCCGTGGGGTGTATTGTCTCTTATGATGTACAACGTGAAGTCCGCCGCGGTAGTCACTGGCCACTTGTTGGAACCTAGCGCGAGGCTCAAGCAGTTTCCTTGCGGTTTTTGTGTGTCCTCGATCTCTTCGCAAACTGCCTTTAGTCATTTAAAAGCCTTTCTATCTGTGATTTGGCGTACTTAGATCTCCAAAGCCTCGAGTACCACAGTGACGACGACGATGCTTCACCTCGTCAACATCAAGAATTCAGCACCAAATCGACAGGGTTTCGCCGCGACTATTTGCCCTCAACCTTCTCAACATTGTGGAAATCCCTAAGATGTACCTATATATAAAAGATTGCTTGAGACGCGATTCGTGTGGTTTCTGATGTGTTGTTGCCTGCTGGACGTCAGAGCTCGATGCAAGACCTCCGGGTTGCGTTCTGACAGTCGCAATGTTTCCAGTGGTAGGTGTAGCAGACCCATCCGTCTCTTGACCAGGAAGGACTAGTATGAATTTCCAAGGACGATGAAGAGCACGTAATAATTGTCGGGTCAGACGCTGGACACTGAGGTGTCATTGGCGAATGGCGAGGGCGGAGGTAAGGAAGCCTGCCAAAAATAGCTTGACAAGATCACGGGCTGTACAGTTGGTAAACATGCATTGGGGCATACCAGGCTTCGAAAGCGTGACTAGGGGCAACATGACCACTGAGGCAAACGAAACGTACTAACTCGAGGCTACGACAGCGAACGCGGGTGCTGACCTCCAAGGACCCCCTCATCTTGCTGTACACCATTGGCCGCAGGTTAGGCGGCACGATCGTATGAGGCTCAATATCTACAGCAATTGCAGTTTTTTGTGACGGATATGGTGTGTTAGCTGTGAATATAAAGTGTCGTGAATCTCTACAATGAATGGCCTGTCACCAGGGACCATCTCGTGCAATTCACATCGCTCTTCACCACTTCCACGACGAGCAGCTATCAAAGTCAACACCAGTATTTCTTCAGCCACCCTGACCTTCAAACCGCACACCAACATACAATCCTTACCACACAAGCAGCACTGGCGACCGAATGGATCAATCTCCCCGCCCGACGGAGCGCGGTCTCTGCCACGACGGTTACAACTTCAGTAACCCCTCAGTCGATTCCCACGATGCTCCAAGGCCTATTGGCAAGCTCCAAAAATCAACCATACAGAGAATAGCGGCCTTTGAACCCCTGCATAACCCTGCCTTCGGCCAGCACTGCGGGTACGCAAACGACTACAGTCACCCCTATAGACCAAACGTGATCCTAGACGTTCAAGGAAAACCCAAGAATGACCCATACTTTCCAGAAAACAACTTGCGATTCGCTGATCGGAATGACAGCAATTTCAGGTGCGCTGTCGAGAATCATGCAGTCGCTTCTAGCCCAGGCGGGTGGAACCGCAGCGCAAGAAGAGAGATCCAGCACCTGCACGAACCTCCAGCGGAACCACATAACTCGCATCACAGGTCCTTCTCCTTTCCGCTGCCTACCATTGCCCCTATGCATTCATCAACTCACCCTGAATCTCGACACAGTAGCGCACCCCCCCAAGCCGCGGGATACTCCAAATATGATTGCTTCCGCAATCGCTTTGAAAGCTCCGAAACGGCAAAGGAGTTCCGGCACACTTCGATGCGATTCGATAGGACGCCGTGCAAGGCCCCACAGGATGACCCAACGATAGAGGAGGTGGAGAGCGACCGAAGAAGGAACGTTGAGCGCATCTACAACGCCATGACCCGTGGTGACATCGCCAAGGATAACGAGGGTTCTACAGCCATGAAGAGGTGGGTGTACGACGCAAATTACCCATCAGCTCTTGTGGAGGCGTATGCCCACAAGGTTTTCGATGCGATGTTGGAGCAAGTCAAGCTGGGATTCCGTGGCTGGAATCAAAATGACTATGTCGTGGACGAGCGCAAGGGCGAGGACGACGATCGCGATGTTGACTGTGCAGGTCGTCTGGACAACATCATCAGCGCTCTCGAGCATGAGAAATCCATCTGCGAGAATGTGATGAGCTCGTCCAACCAGATCCGGATGTTTGTTAATGCACCAAAGGCATACTCCAAGCGCAAAGATCAGAATCGAGTTGGTAATGGGAAGAGGCCGAATGCAAAGGGCTTAGTCGCCGGCAGCTCAGAATCCCCAGCGAAGAAACGAAGAACAGGAGGACACACCAGAAACCGCTCTTCCACGCTCTCCGACCTACCATCGTCACGAGGCACAACTCCACGGGAATCATACGATAAATTAGGGCTGCCCTTCTGTGCACCCCAGTTCCAAGGGAGAGGCAATGTCAGCTCCTCTCCACCATTTTCCTTCGCGCCGCTGGCGCCTGCCTTCCACCGGCGAATGGGTCTTGCACACAGCACTTCTTTCGGCCAGCTTCTCAGCAACACAAGGCCGCCCTCGATGATGTCGCACATGGCCCCTGTCACCCGCATGGCTTCGGTGCCTGCTACTCTTCAATCCCCTTTCATGTCGCCGTCTAATCAGTCGCACAGTCACTTCTCAACACCCGTCATGCCTGACGCACCAAAGCGCTCAAACAGCTGGCAAAATACTGATATCTTCGATCCACCAATACAAATCGATGTTTCATGCCCTGAGAGGAACGACAGCCCTCTCTTCAACGACATGACCGATTGGGATTCGCGAGACGTGGTCTACACACAGAGCTTACAGGACGCCAATCTTTTTGTTCAGCACCCGGAAGCCGGCGTGTGTATGGCCGACCTGGAGAGGGTAGATTCACACCAGGATGGTGACATGGCCAGTGGTGAAGACTTTACGACTTTCTGGAACCAACAGCGAGGTGTCCAACAATTCCCGTTCGACGACCCGCCATCCAACCAGCAACAGTGAAGATATGATGGGCGCCTTCCTGTAGCCTTTTGGGAGGACTTCTGCCTACCTTACTTGCTTGGAGTTTATCGTCCAGTAGTTCATTGGGCACTCTGAGTATTTTCTTGGCCACCCATTTTTACGCTGCACATTGTCGTTGTCGTCTATCTGGAAAGTGTGACGACTAGACTCACGTCTTCCTTATTTCGTGCATGTTTTTGGAATTTAAACTGGGACAATTGTAACTCCATGCGAGCGTTTGATCTGCATTTCTTTCAGCGCAGGGCTTGTAGAGTGGTAATGGCATGCGATTGGAAACTGCTTGGAAGGAGATCATAACTTAACTGCGAATATGATGAGGAGAGAAGCGTTCGTTATGTGGAGTCTGTATCTCTAAACAATGCATTAGAGTCTAATCACTGGCATCATGTGCAAAACTTTGTGATGGGATACTACTGATAGTGGTACTGGAAGGACGTGGGCTTGCTGGTACGCGGAGTCAAAACAAGCCGAGGCGCTAGTTAGTCATCGCGGGGGGCCAATAAGGTCTTAACGTGATCCACCACCGAGCGCCCACCAACACCAAAATCACCAAATTTTCAACACCAAATTTCTCAACAACTATAGCACCTATTAACGACGCGCTTGCAGCAATTAAATCCTTAACTCTTAGAGAAGATTTTACATACTTAGAAATAGTAGAAAAGTATAGTTGCTTGCAGTTAACCTTGTCTAAACGCTACTAGAAAATTTAGTAGGCGTACACTACTACTCTACTAAATAGTTAAATACTTAATACTATATAAGAAAGCAAGCTTATAGAGTATATTAAAGAGCTTTATAGGTAAGGATTACCCCCTATATAGACTATTATTTAAAATTTTGCAACTAAAATAATAGGGAATCTAGTAGGCAAAAATTAGGTGTAGCGCTTTATTAACTGCTATAATATTAATCTTATCTTCTATTAGGCTACTAGGCTTAATTGCAACTACTTTAAAGCTAATTCTACCTTTAAGTATAGCTTATACTTTAAGCTTTTACACTAAAAAATAGAGTAATATAATATTAAGAGTTAGTATATCTATAATATATATAACAATAGGGTAGAATTGCCTGCCTATTATTCTATGCTAAGTTAGGCCTAATAAAGGCCTAACTTACTAATATATATAGAGAACAGCTCGCCTATAGTTAGGATAGGCATATTCTTCTTATCCTTTCGTATAAGACCTATAGGTGTAGGAATCTTATCCTTTTCTATATAGACGCGCACTCCTATATACCTTTAAGTTATATAGGATACCTTTTAGATACCCTACCTACCTAAGTTATTATATTACAAGAAGAATATTATCCTAGCTAGTAATAGCATTTAAGAATATCGCACTTATTATTATTTTAAGCTACTAATTTAGTTCTAGTAGCTATCTAACCCTGCAACTCTATAGTTAGAATAGCTATTAGAACTTCTAATAACTAAAGCCTATAGGCTTAGACTTCTAGACCTATAGGTGGTGCTAGATTACCTTTAGAAAAATCGCGTTAGATTACGTTAAGGTAGAGACCTAGAGACTACTAAAAGCCTAGAGGAATTAGAGGCAAAGCTAATATCCTCCTATAACTAAACCCCCCTAAAGAAAAGATTTATTATTCTTATTAACTATAAAATATTAGATAAAGGCAAAGGAAGGGTATCTAGTTTAGCCACTTTTAAAAGCCTATTTACTAATAGAAAGAAATTAGATAAGGAAGACTTAATTAACAACGCCCTCCTTAAAGGACCTGCTTCCTATCTATCTCTTAAGGTACCTTATGCTCTTAGGAAATCTTAAAGTAACACCTCCCTTAAAGATAAATATATATTAACCCTATCTAAAAAGGAGAGGTTAGAGGAATAAGTTAAGTAACTTACTAATTAGTTATATAACACCTCCCTCTATAAGGAGATATAGGGTACTACCTAACCTAGCTAGTCTTTAGCTTCTATATTAAACCCTATAGTATATACTATAAAAGCTAAGAGATAATCTAAAAAGACACTAAATATCTCTATACTTAGTAATAGTACTAATCCTACTTTTAGATAATAGCAAGTATCTATTTAGGATAGGCTAGAGATTAATACTAATTACTACCCCTCTTCTAGAGCTTAGATAGCGTTAGTCTAGGGACACTGCTTAGGACTAGTAAGAGAATACTTAGAGCTATATTACCTATCTAATTCCCTAAGTCTTTAATTCTAAAAAGCTAAGGAAATAATTACCCTCCTTTAAACTTACTTTATTACTAGAAATAAGATAGCTAAGAGTTAGACTGTATTTAACCGCCTATATATAACTATTGCAGGAGGGATATTAACTAGATCACGGAGCATCTTGATCCCGATTAATCCCAATCAATCCTAGTCAATACCCCTGTATGACCCACTATCTAATCAACTGCTAGCTTACTGCCAAGTGCCTAATAAAAAGCTAGAGCTCTAGTAAGGAAGGTTTACCAATTATTCACCTTCTAGTAAGGGTAGCTGAAGCTCTATATATATAAGTCCAATCGTAGTAGATATAATCTAATAATCTATCTCCTAAATTATTCCTAACCTTAGTAATCCAAATTTCTATAGTTATAAGCCTAGTTCGCGCTTTACCTTATTAAAGATTGTCCTATCTATTTAAGCGTATTGTTTAACTTAGACACTAAGCTAGCAAAGCTTTACTCTTTCTTTATACTATTTCTTAAGCAAAAGCTTACTTATTACTCTTCTACTATAAGCAACTAAATCCTAAAGGGGGATATCCTACTTACTAGATTAACCAACTAGCCCACCTAGTACATTTAATTTAGATACCATGCCCTAACTAAAGGGATCTAGGTAGAGGTAGACCCTAAGGCTCTAGATACTAAAAACCACTTTAAGAATAAACCTATTAAGCCTAACATGCTAATAGATATCGCGCTATCTAATATAATAAGCGAGCAGTACAAACTTAAAATAGCTTAGTACTAAGCCTGCTTATTAGATTAGGTATTAAAGTTATTAGTAATCTAGAACCTCTTTATATAGGTTAATAATATAGTAGATTAAGGGATCCTTACCCTAGCCTATATAGAGCTTGTTAATTAAGGAAGAGTAACTCTCTAAGCACTTATCTAAGTGCTCTGTAATAACCTAGCGCTAACTAACTTAAGCGCTATAACACTAGCGAGATTGCAGTACAAAGCTTATCTTGCTAAGGCAAAGATAAGTAGCTAAGACGCTGATTGCTAGCAGAAGGAGTAGATAATCCTATATACGCGAGCTAAGGTATACAACGTACCTAATATTAAAGGATAGCTTATAGTATAGGATTATCTTAAAGCTCTATCTACTAGGATCTTACTAGATTAGGGTTAAAACATATTTTAAAGGATTATTAAAAAGTTAGTAATAGGAGAGCTAACTTATAACCTCCTATAGGTTACTAAGATCTATTTATTACTTCTCTAAGAAAACAATATAAGATTAAGCTCTAAAGGTCCTAGAGTGTTTGCAACAATAGGAGCTCCACCTTCTAATTAACCTAAGAAGGAGTCTTTATGCCTATATAGTAGATCTTACCTATAGAAACCTCCTAAATGCAAAAACGTTATTAAAGCTTAGACTAATATAGGTAACAAGCTTACTACTACTTAACAATTAGAGATTAAGAAAAAGATTAATAGGAATCTAAAATTCAAAGAGTTAAGAAAAGCTCTAATTAAGTCCTATCCTATTAATCAAGATTATAGTAGTAAGGCAAGCACAATTACCTATCTAGGCAGTATCTAGGCAGCACTAATTAACCCTATATTAATAGTAGAGAAAACAAACAGGATCTATTTAACTATAGACTTTAAAGCTTACGCTCTATTAAAGAGCACTATCTTTAACAATAGGGGTGTAGTGCACCTAGTTAATAATATAAGCTACCTAGAAGAAAGCTTGTTTAGATTAGTTAAATATAAGATGGTTAAAGCAGGAACTTAAGCTTTTCTAATCTTAGGCAGAGGGACAAGAGTGATCCCTAATACTCTTAATAGACTAAGAGGTCTAAAAACAGAAGATTTAGTGCTTACTAATATAGTGTTGCAGGAGGGATATCAACCGGATCACGGAGCATCTTGATCCGATCAATCCCGATCAATACCCCTGTATGACCCACTATCTGATTAACTGCCAGCTCACTGCCAAGCGCCCAACAAAAAGCAGGAGCTCTAGTAAGGAAGGTTTACCAATTATTCACCTTCTGGTAAGGGTAGCTGAAGCTCTATATATATAAGTCCGATCGTAGTAGATATAATCCAATAATCTATCTCCTAAATTATTCCTAACCTTAGTAATCTAATTTTCCATAGTTATAAGCCTAGTTCGCGCTTTACCTTATTAAAGATCGTCCTATCTATTTAAGCGTATTGTTTGACTTGGACACTAAGCCAGCAAAGCTTCACTCTTTCTTTATACTATTTCTTGAGCAGAAGCTTACTTATTACTCTTCTACTATAAGCGACTAAATCCTAAAGGGGGATATCCTACTTACTAGATTAACTAACTGGCCCACCTAGTATATTTAATTTAGATACCATGCCCTAACTAAAGGGATCTAGGCAGAGGTAGACCCTAAGGCTCTAGATGCTAAAAACCACTTTAAGAATAAACCTATTAAGCCTAACATGCCAACAAATATCGCGCTATCTAACACAACAAGCGAGCAGTATAAGCTCTAAATAGCTTAGTACCAAGCCCGCTTATTAGATTAGGCATTAAAGTTATTAGTAATCCAGAACCTCTTCACATGGGTTAACAACACAGTAGATTAAGGGATCCTTACCCTAGCCTATATAGAGCTTGTTAATTAAGGAAGAGTAACCCTCTAAGCACTTATCTAAGTGCTCCGCAATAACCTAGCGCTAACTAATTCAAGCGCTGCAACACTAGCGAGATTGCAGTATAAAGCTTATCTTGCTAAAGCAAAGATAAGCGGTTAAGACGCTAATTACTAGTA